AAAAATGAAAAAAAAAAAAAAAAAGAACTCAAAAAGTATAAGCTAGGACAGCCATTTCAACTCAACTTCAGGAATGACTGTCTACTTAAAGACGATTAACAGTTGTTTGCGCTAGTGTCTGCCACAGGAGGCATCCAAACAGTGGCTAAGATGGCTGAGATCATAAGGCTGGATCACCCACAAGGGTCTGTCTGTTGCCTGTAGGATTCAGTCAGACACTAGACTATGGGATTAGATCAATGGATGCCAACCTTTCAAAACCTAGATCCCTTCTATTAACCCACATCCCAGTCCCTAACCAGAAAAGCTCGTATCTAACAAATATACCTCATTTCTTAGATGTGGGCCCAGGATTAAGCCCTTCCTGTTTTATCAAGGGGAAGCAGCTTTTGGAAACAACAGAAATAACTTTAAAATAATGAATAATTTGAAGAGCCCTGAGTTCGGGAGCACTTACACAGATAATCTTCCACATCTCATCTAACCCTGAGATTCTATATGAGCTACTTCATAAGCAGACTTTTGTATGAAGAAGCCCTATGAAATACACTGCTGTATTTGCCAGAAGAATCATACTGAGGATGTTGTTTTATTTATTACACAGTAGGTCCTTGAGACCTTCTGAGCCTCTCCCTGGGTTTAGTATAGGAAAGCTGGTAGGAAAGCTGGGCTTTTCTGGGTACAGTACTATTTGGACTTATGGACATGATGAATTGCATAACTGAAAATGTTTTTCCCTATACCAGGAGTCAACAAATTTTAATTTCTTAAAGGACCAGATAATATTTTCAGCTTCCAGGCCATGTAGTCTCTGTCACAACTACTCAACTCTGTCACTGTAGCATGACAGCAGTCATAGGCAAAAAGTAAACAAGGGGGCATGGCTGTGTTCTAATAAAGCTATTTACGGAAATAGGCAACTGGCCGAGTCAGCTGCCCCTGTCTCTGTACCGTTTGTTGATTGCTAGTACGCTGAGAGCCAAGTTTGGGGATCCCCTTTAGCAAGTAGAACCTCACAGAATAGATCTTTTTTGTAGTCACTTCACTGTTTTATCTTTCCTTTGGGCTGGCTGCCTCAACTACCTATTTTTAATTTAATCTGGCTGTGTTGTGAAATTTCTCTAAGATGCTGAAAATATTTTTCAGAAAAAGATGGCGTATAAATAAAGTAAAAGATTTGATCCAGACTGCTTTGTCTTTAAACATTAAGGAAAGTCAGTTACGCTCGGCGGGATGGACTGTGGTGTCAGGCAAAGCCCCCTTACTTCATTCTCCCCAAATTTGGCTTCCTAAGGGAGGAACAGGCATAGACCTAGGGACCTAAGTTCTGCTTTAAGTCCATACACCAGTGTACCCTCAGTTCAAAATTGACACTGTATTTTTTTTTAATGATTGTGTCCAGGAGTTGACAGAGGGCTGGTTAGTGCTTTGGTTGGCAGGTTACTCATCCCAGCTGGAAAAACATCACTCTGACTCAGGGACATATTCATTTGAAAAGCTATGTCTGGGATTTAACTGGAGCCTAGGAGACTTCGGGGGAGACACCCTCAGGCAATTCCTTTCGTAGTAATAAATGAATAAATAGTAATAATAGTAGTAATTTGTAGTAATAAATGAGACTTTTCACTTTAAGGCTCATAAGACATTGGAAATACAAACATTCAGAAATTTAACTTCTGGATTTTGTGGTGGAGCAGGAAAAAACCCTGGAGTGGAAGTTGGGTACCCTGAGTTTTAGTCCCGACACTGCCATTGTTCCTTAAACTTGAAAATGAATAAAACAGTAAGATTTTATGGTTCACTAATATATGAATAATATGTAATAATTAGAGCTGCCCTTTACTGAGCATCGCCATCTACCCTGTGCCGGGATTTTATGGAATGGAGGATAAAAGTTAGAGACTAAGGAATTCGCTTCAAGTCACGAACCTGAGTGTGTCTACCCTAAAGCCCACGCTCTCTCCATTACCTCAATCTGCTTTTCTAGCCCTGTATCTTGCAGAGTTTTATTACAGACTTTACAGAACCTCTGTGTATGGTGAAAACATAGGGTGGTATGCTTTCAGCCTGGTCAACAAGTATAAATCTAACTTCTAAAATGCTGCTAACGAATACTGCATTCATCAACATGGTAATGTTACCAGGGTCACTCAAGGGTGCCAAGTCTTGTGAGGTCCTCCACAGCACCCTGTGAGGACACCGTAAGTGTTTAAAGGCTGGAAAGTCAGCTTTCAGTAATGGGTTTGAGCAACCTATGAGGCTGGCCAATTGACTTGTTTTTTTCAAACCTAGAATTTATTCTCTGGCTTAGCCCTCAATTCCTACCAGGTCTCTTTCTTTCCTAATTATTCCTTGGAAAATACTGCTCCCACTTACCTCAACCATTTTGTGTTTTCAGAATCTGCCCTATCCCCATCCTAATTTGGGGACTAAAAGAGAAGGAATAATGAGGAAAGGCACTCTCCGTAAACAAGCCCTACCATGGACTCTGGAAAATAATTTCTGGTTCTGCTCCACTAGACACAGACTGGCTTTTTTTTTTTTTTTCTCAGTCATTTTAACCTGTTCTTAGTGAGAGTGAAAGGGGAATGGAAGTGGGCTAGAGCGCTTTTAGGTCCAGATCCTTTCTTTGAAAACATCTCAGCTCTGACCTTTGACAAAGGACACTGACCTATGAAACCAGATATGTAGTCCTGGCTTCACTATTAATCCAAAGTGCCCTGTGGGCAAATCACTTCCCCTTTCTGTCACATCTACCAATCCCGTGAAATGAGGCGATAGGCCAGGAAATTAAGCACTCTTTCTGCTGTCTCTTTCCATTATAAACTCCCTCCATCTATTTCTTAAATGTACAGTTACATCTCCGGAGTGTCAAGAGGTGGAAGGGTCATGAGGACCACCTAGTCAAAACCACTTATTTCACAGAAAATGGGAGGTTCAGGAAGGTCCAGCCATTTGCCCGCAAATCACAGAGTTAGAGGCAGGGCTAGGCCTAGAAACCAGGTCTTTTCACTTTGCCACTTGACTGTCTTAATATCCCCTGCACACAAGCACAGCTCTTTACAACCCACTTAATCCTGACAATTCTCAGAAAATAGGAATCACTACTGGCCCCATTTTGTAGACGAAGCAACCGAGCCCCTTGGAGTTTTAATGACGTGGCCCAAGCCAGAGGGCTGGGGTCAGTGCTAGGCAGAGGAACATGGTCCCCTCCCGCCCGTCCTGGGGCCTCACCCTCGAGGAGGCGGCAACGCTGGTGGAAAGTGTAGCAGGTCTGGTCCTTGTACAGCGGATGCTCGTGAATCGGGGGCAGGCGGCGAAACTTTGGATGCGTCCAGCCAGGATCCCAGGGAGGGAAGACCGGCCGCGCTAGCCCGGGCATGAAGTGCATCTTCCCCGCGTAGGTGATGGGCTCCAGTCCAGGGATTTCGTATACCCTGTCTGGGGGAGGAGGCTCGGGCTTCCGCGTGGAGCGCACGCCCCACTCGTACGCCCCACGTCTCGGGGCCCCGCAGCCCCCAAGGCCGAGCCGTCCGGGGCGAGCCAGCGCCCGCCTTGCGGGCCCCGATGCCAACGCCATACCGATCTGGTCTCTTCAAGACCTCCACCTGGACGCCGCCATCTTCCCGTGCGCAAGGCCTGCTAGGAACGAAAGGGGATGGGCGCCAAGGCTCGTTCTATGAGTGGCAGCCCCTTGAACTAATCAAAGTCAGGACATCCTTGTCTTGCCCCACCCCGCAGGCCGTCCGCATGTTTTCATAGGTGGGGACCGGGGAGGAGGGAACCTGAAGTCCTCACACGAGGGGAAGCGCAGGAGTGTAGGTGAGTGGTCGTGGTTGGGCTGGGAAGCGACTAGGAGAACAGCAGGACTTGAAACTGCATCCTAGGGCAACCCGGACCGCTAACGAGTAGTTAGAGCTTGAGCAAGGCACTTCCCTCTGAGCCCCAGTGTCCCTCGCTGTAAAAACTAGCGCACCTGTACAGCGCCGGCACGTAGTGGGTGCGTTTTAAGTTTTCTTTCTTCTCCACCCACTTCTCTCTGCTTCGGGCACTTTTACCGTGCCCCTTCCCTGAGCCTGAGAGTGACCCCGTCCTCCACACCGGCGCCGCACCCTACCGCTCGTAGCGCAAGCCTCTTCCCCAGCGCCGAAAGTGAGTTACTTTCCTCCCTTTCCCTCGAGATTTCCCTTTTCGCCTCCTGGAATCAGTGGAGGCCAGAGCGATGGAGGCGTTCTTTTGCGCATTGAGCAACATCTATGTATCAGATGCCCACTGTGTGTCAAGCGTTGTGTTTGCGTTTGTGAATAAAATAGATGTGCGATGTAGAACTTAGTTTAATGGGCGAAATAGACAAAGCAAATAAGTAAATAAAGCAGTTACAATACACACACACTTCCTATCCCCAGTTATTTTTCTCTTTAGCATTTGACGCTAACATACTATGTTTTCCATAGTATGTTCTGTATGTATGTTTAATAACCATTTCTCACTACAATGTGAGCTCCATGTGTGCAGGGGTTTCTGATTCTTCACTGCTGTACCCCCTGCCCCTAGAACAGTGCCTGACAGGTAAGAAATATATGTTTAATGAATGAATACTAATAGAAACAAATAGGGTGCATGGTAGAGAATGAGAAAGGGGAGGTTCAGGGAGGGCCTCTGAGGGGAGTTGACCTTTAAGCAAAGCCTGAAGGGTGAGGCCAGTCATCCAGGCAGAGCTACAACATGTGTGGAGGCCTTGCTTAAATTAAGGTGGTGCCTCTAAGATGGAAAGGTAGAGGCTGAGAGGAGGCATGAACCAGGTCTTTAAAATTCATTACTGACACGGCCCACTCCTCTACCAATTTCTAACGTACCGGAGAAAATGAGATTATTGAAACATGAAGGAAAAGGTAAATTTAAGGCAATAAATCCGAATAACCTTCGCAATGTATAGCATTTTACAGCTCTTTCACTTATCTTGTTTTATCTTGCAAAAATTGCAGGATGTAAGAAATCGGCATACAGAGGGGACCAGACGTCATTCCCTCGTATACATACCTGGTATATAACACGCAATAAAAATGGGCTGAGTTGATGTAACACCATGCTAGGCTGCAAGATCTGTGAAGGTAGAGCCATGTCCTATTTACCGCTGCTGTATCCCAGCATCTAGCACTGTGTGGCTCCCAGACCTTGTTTGTAAACTGATGAGCACCCACCACTCACCGGAGCCTTCCAAATGCCAGGCCTGTGCTTCGTGGTAGAATACAGAAAGAATAAGACACCACCTTTGCCCTCAAAGGGGTCCTAGCCTGCCCCTCTTTTCTGAAATCATAGAACCAGCAGTAGAACCAGGTTTGCTGAAGCCAGACCCTTTCCTCTATAAGAGAAAGATTTATTGCACACAGAGGGACTGCCCTTCTAAAACCAATGATAGTAAGTAGTAAGAAAATCTGGACACATTCTGGTCAGGAAGAGCCTTTGGGCATCAGGCAAGAAGATCAAATTCAATCCAGTAGGCAATGGGGAGTAGGAGATTGCTAATCAGGGGACTGGTGTGATCAGAGCTGGTGGCATGTGTGCTGATGGATGGTGCAGACAGACTGGAAGCACATCTTTTGGGCCCATGGGAAGCTCCCGTGTAAATGGATGTGGGAATCAGGAAAAGTGGAGATCTTAAAGGTCAGGACTCCTGGGACGTGATTGGTAACCAAGAAATGGGACTTCTGGGTCCTCTGGCGGACTTGGTGGTTTGCACAGATTTCTCTGCCCTTCCACAGATTTCTCCTACATCTTGAGCCTAGCTCTTATGCATGAATAAAATTAGTGCTGTTGGGAGGCTCCACGGTGCCCATAAAATTCAGTGACAATCTGGCAAGTTCCACAGGCAAATCCATGTAAAACAGAGTTGGGCCCCTGCTCTGTCCCAGCCTAGTGCCAGGCACTGGGAATTAGAGATGAAGACACCCTCCCCCCTGTCCTCCAGAAGTGTGAAATCTAATGACAAAGAGCACCAGCCTGGAGACATAAGAGATCCAGGTGTGCGTACTAATTTTACCACTTCCTGACTGAGGCCTCTTCTGTGAAATGAGAAAGAGCATGGCCTACCCCTATGACTGTTGGGAAGACTGAATGAGGCAGTGCAAAGTGCTTAGCATAGACTCTGGCCCAGTAAGGGGCACCTATTCTTATAATGGTTATTATCTGTTTAGTAGATGACTCTCCCACTAGTCCAGGAGCTCCTACATAGCAGAGACAAGTGTCACTCACCTCTGCCTCCAGCATCTCATTCAGCGGGCCTGCCGAGTAAGTGTATATGTGGCAAGAATGAATGAATGGGAAGAAATCAAAGGCTGGAGCTCTTAGAGGTAGTTTCATTTTAGAGGAGTAATATTTACATCAGATAATGTTCTGTTACATCAGCCTTCCCCGTAGTTCTGTTCTCAGTCAAGAGGGAGGGAATACTCTGTTTTACATGGATTTGCCTGTGGAATTTTAAATTAGTTGTTTGCTTGAGACGATCAGGTCTATTTCTATTTATATAAACTGTGGCATTCCACATGTAAATATGGAGAACCTTGATAAATCCCAAACTGCCCTTACAGAAATATCTCAGAATAAATCATAGCCATTTAACTTTTCCTTCCTGATCTGTCTTTCAGACTGTATTTACCTAACAGCCCTGAAACCAAGCACCTTCCCTCCCTCCCTCTCTCCCTCCCTTCCTCCCTCCTTCTCTTCCTACCTTCTTACCTTCCTTCCTTTCTTTCATATAACACACATATTTTTGAATATACACTGTGCTGTTTCATAAAACGAATAAAAAACAAATCTCTGCTCTCAAGGAGTTCACAGCCTCAGAGAGGAGAAAGACATGTAAACATGTAACTTCTGAATGGCATGAAATGCTATGAGATAGAGTCATTCATTTGAAGAGTATTTACTGAGCCCCTACGATGACCAGGCTGGACCAAGTGCGGCGAGTGCTTGCAGGAGGGAGTGAAGCCAAGCAGGCCCTCACAGAAGTCCCCAGCCTTCTGTTCTCTTCCTTTACCCACTGGTCATCCCTCTCTTGGTGTCAGTTACCCAGCTCTCCATCTCCAGACTCGTATACCCAGACATGTTTAATCCAGCTGACACCTGGTTTTTACACTTGGATGCCCCATGGGCAGTCAGCATTCCTCAAACCTGAACTTATCATTTCCACCCACTTCTTCTTTCTCCTAAAACTCAACTTGTCTTGAGCTCACTTTCCACCCAGGAATCCAAGCCAGACACCTGAATGTCCCTTCAACCTCTCCGGCCCCCGACTCCCTCACCTCGCATCTAGTCAGTCTCTGTGTCCTATTAATTCCTTCTTCAGTATCTCTCTATTGACCCCTGTCCTCTCATCCTTCCTGAGCTGCCCTGGTCCAGGTCCTCGTTACTTTTCACCTGGACCATCACAACCTCCCATTCCTGTTTTCCTGTGGTTGGGGAACAATATGTTCTGAAACCAGACAGACCAGAGTTAAAATCCCAGTGCCACCATTTTAGGAGCTGTGTGGCCTCGGGTAAGTTATTAAACCTCTCCAGACCTCAGTGTTCCTGTCTATAAAATGTCACCTCCAGCACCAGCCTTGTTATGAAGATTAAATGAGATGTAGCAATTTGGTGGGTGACTCTCCAACAATGCTGAGTGAAAGAATATGATTCTGTTTATGCAGAGCTGGACTGTAGTGGTTAGGGTTGTAAACAGAGGTGACAAAACTAAGGAAATTAAGGGAATGCTTATATCAAAAGTCAAGATGACGGTTATAGGGGGCTCGGGTGATCAGGAAGGGACACTTAGCCTTTGGGATATTGCCAAGGTTCTTTTTACTTGACTGAGTGGTCGTTACAAAGGTGTTCTTTTATAACATTTTAGTTTATTTTTTGTAATTTTTATAATTATTTATTAAATTGTACCTATATGTTTGACTTCATCATTTGAAGTATTATAAAAAATTGAACGAGATTTTCTATATAAAGTGCTTAACCCAGTAGTCAGAGCACAGGAAAAGGTCAGGAAACCTTGATTGCCAGCTCTGATATGACCTGTTTGCCTGCCTCCCCCGCCGGGCACCACGTCCCAGGGTGGATTCATCCCTGTCCCCAGTGCTCACACAGAGCATGGCACCTGCAGGCTTCGGGGAGAATGGGAGGAGTAGAGGTGACCAGAGTGTAACCACACGTTTTCCCTCCCCCAGACTGGCAAGGGAACGGGGCCTGGGCCGTGACCTCACAGAACCAGGCCTGCTCCAGAAGAGCGCCCAGTCATCCCTCCCAGGCTACCCAAGTTCAATGCCGATGGATGAGAAAGAGGAGGATGACGATGAGGAAACCTGGCTGCAGCTTCGGCCGGTGGAGCCCTTGCCCTCCCAGTGCTGCGGCAGCGGCTGCTCACCCTGTGTGTTCGACCTCTATCAGCGAGACCTGGCAAGGTGGGAGGCAGCCCGAGCCAGCAAAGACAGAGGCCTGCTGAGAGGGAAGGAGTCCCAGGTGAGGGGGCGCTGCTCCTCAGACAGCCTGGCCTTGCTCAGCCCTGCGCACTGTACCTGTTCAGGGAACCTTTCCCTGACTCTGCACAGCAAAGAAAAAAGAGTGTGCTCACTGGAAACAGACAGAGCCAGGTTCAAAGCCTGGCCCTGAGCTGGGTGTGGGGCATCCCAGGAGTGAATGGGGTGTGGGCATTTTATAGGAGAGCGAGATCTGTGAGTTACGGCATTCAGAGAAGGCTTCCCGGAGGGGGTACAGGTGCGGTGGAATGTTAAGGGCAGTGGGCTGAGATTTAGAAGACGTGAATTTGAGTCCCTGCTCGTGGTATGACCTCGGACAAGTAAGTCCCTACCACACAGGCCTCAGTTTCCCCACGTGTAAAGTAAGGATATTAGATTAGATCATCTTTAAGTTCCCATCAGTTCCTAAATTCTGCAAATCAGGATCTTTAGCAGGTTTGAAGGATGGGTGGGCTGTTCATACATTGGAGATGAGTGTTCTGGACAGAGGTCCCAGCTGGAGCAAATGAAGGCTCACAGGTGGGAGGCAGCAGGGTTTTGGGAGAGGACGGAGAAGAGTGGCATCTGATGCATGGGAGGTAAAGCGAGGCCTGAGGGTCGTTCACACCTGAGTGTCCAGCTAAGACACTTTATCCTGGGGCTGAGGGGAGGGAGCCATGGAAGGCTTAAGAGCGGGGTGAGCACAGCATAAAGGTCTCTGGCAGTTTTTAGATCAGAGCATGAAAGGCAAGTAAGGTGGGGCCACTCTCTATTATAACAGAAAACTTACCAGCCAGGATAGCCTCTCGTTGGGGAAAGTGGGAAGGATGCTTGTGGGTGCTTGCATGTCTCTTGAGCCCCAGCTCCCAGCTGTTGGATATTATCCTTTTGCAGAGCTGCCCCTCCAAGCTTAACCCAGAGACCTTCCTGGCCTTCCACATCAGCGCCATGGACAAACTCACTAAGGACACCTACCGTATCCAGTTTGCACTACCCGGGAACAGCCAGCTCAGCCTGCGGCCTGGCCAGCACCTCATCCTACGGTACACTCAGGCAGTGGGAGGATCAAAGCTTTGCCACCCTGCTTTTCCATTTGCTAGTGTGTGACCTAGGGCAACGGCTTAACCGCTACCTCCCCCCCCTCCCACCTCCGCCAACCCGCCAAGCCTCCATTACTCATCTTCAGAATAGACATAGTAACACATGACTCAGAGGGTTTTGGGGATTGAACTAGATAATCCATTTTCATAATAAATAATAATAACAGCAAATACTTTTATAGCACTTATATCCAAGGCACAGTTCTGGGTGCTTACAAGTATGAACTCATTTAATCGTCACAAAGTCCCGTGTGGTGTGTGCCGTTATCATACCCGAGAGGAAATTGAAGTCAGAGAGGTTCAGTGACTTGCCTAGGGTCACATAGTTAGGAAATGTTGGAACCAGGATTTGAGGGCAGGCACTGTGGCTCAAGAGGCTGCGGCATTAACCTAATATGATTAGCACCAGTTGATAGAAAGGACACTGCCATTGAGAGTAAGGGATTTGGCCAGTATCACTCCGCTAATAAGTCATGGAGCCAGGATTCAAACCCAGATTACCGGCTCCTGAGTTACACTCTTCATCGCTCCTCTGAACTTCCTTTTTCCTCCCAGCCTACTTTTGCAGCCTCCTCCCACCTCTGACCCCACCCTCACCTGTACAGGAACAAGACCCTTTGGGACCTCCAGATGTCGGCCTCTGCCAGGCAGCCGACTGTCTGGGTCTGAGGCAGTCTGACTCTATGGGAATCATCAGGATATACGTGGTCAGAATTTGGGAGCATGTGGCATGGAAAGAGGGAAGGCGGAGGACTGAACCCTGGCCACTCTGGCATTTATGGTATTCACAAGAGAAGGAGCCAACAAAAGAGACAGAAGGTGCAGCCAGAGGAGAGGAAAACCAGGAGAGAGCATGTTACAGGTCACACTCCGGTCACTTGCCTCGAACTGACCCCTGAGGCTTGTGCCCAGCTCGTTCTGGCCTGTGGCCAGGCTGATGGGCCTTAATGCGCACTCTTCCAGTGGACGGGAGGGGCCACAGGACAGGCCACAGCCCATGCAACCTACCGTCCGTCCGTATATCAGGGATGCCCAGCGCTCCCAGCCTCTGCGCTGGTCCCTCTCCTCCACCCTCTATGCCACTCCCGTGACATTCCTAACACATGGTGCTGGCTATGTCACTCCCTGTTCCAACCCCTGGTGCTCCACAGTGCCTCCCCAGTGACATCCTAACCCAGGGCCCCAGCTTCCTTTCCCACCAAGTTCTCCCTCCCCCACACGTGCCCCTTGTCCCGGCTTCATGAGCCACTCGCCAGTTCCTGCCCTGCATTATCCTACCTCTAAGCTTTTGCCGGGGCCATTCCCCTGCCTGGAATCGCTTCCCTTCCTGTCCCCATGGCCACCTGTCAGTGGCCTGTTCATTCTTTAATCCCCAGCTCCAGGAGGCCTCCTGAGGTTCCCCCAGTGAGAATGACGACTTCCTCCATAGCATGTCAGTTTGCCTGTGTTGTAGCAAATGTCACAGTGCTCTGCATGCAGGCCACGCCATATGTGTTTGTTATTTTCTCATTTGTTCCACAAGCATCTATTGAATATTTCTGTCTAGCTCCCCCACTTTTGATGCACTAGGGCAGGGCCCTTTTAACCTTTGCATACCTCAGAGAAGAGAGTTTTGCACGTGGTAGGACTCGAGAGGAGTGCTGAGGTGCTTGCAGGGAGCTCTGAGGAGGAGCGGTGAGGAATGTGGCTCTGCAGTCAGAGCTACGTGTGAATTCTAGGTGTGTGACCTTGGGCAATTGGCTTTCCTTCGCTAAGCCTCAGTGTCCTCATTTGGCTTATTGTTTGGGTTGAATAAGACAGTGCATATAATGTGCTTGGTGTATAGTAGGCATTTTAGGTGACAAGGCTGCTAGTACTGGTATTCATGATGATCGTCCTGGCCCCTGGGTGACAGCATTGTGGAGAGGACTCATGCATGGGGCTGGACTTTGGCAGAGGGCGCCTTTGATGCTCCTGGCACATGGTAGTGAGTGTTCAGTGAATGTTAGACACCTGTTAACCACAGCTGTTTTTCCCTTTATCATTCTATGGTTGAGAAGAGGTCAGGAAAAAACCTTAGTGATGTCCTCAAAACAGATCACATCATCCGGGTACTTTCTGAAGCACTCTCCCATCTCTAATCCCAGTGGAACCACACAGCAGGGACGTAGGTGGCCACGTTTTACACAAGGCGCAGAGAAGGGATTAATGACCTGCCCAGGGTCTCACAGCCAGCACATGGAAGTGGGGAGCCCCGTGTTCCTTTTATCTGCTCTACCTTGCTTGCCCTTCAATGAGGACCACTAGGGATGACCGGACCCCACTTTCACTTCCACCGTTCTGGGAGAGTAGGTACTGTAAGGGTTTGTTGAATGACTGGCTACTCCCTGACTGAATGCTTCTCTTTCCCAGAGGGATAGTTGATGACTTAGAAATTCAGAGAGCTTATACGCCCATCAGTCCTGCCAACGCAGAAGGATACTTTGAAGTTTTAATCAAGGTAAGCTGGTTCACATGATGCTCTAAGATGTTGTGGAGGGGAACTCCTGTTTGCCAGCTTAGTTGGGACGGGGCAGTTCCCCCCGATGTGAGAAAAACCAGTGTTCCCATGGGAGGAGGCTGACTTGAGGGAAGACTGGGGACAGTGAAGAAGGCTTTCTCCCATCTCCTTTCCTGGCCGGGCGGCTGCTGGACCACCAAGAGAGGGAACATTCCTGACAGATTTTATAAAAAGGAGACTCAGACTGAGAAAGTTCAAGCTGTTCCTTCTCGTTTTCTTGTCTGTCAGTGGAGAGTGAGCACTGAGCCTAGGAAGAGGGGGAACCAAGCTGCTTAGCACCTATGGTGTGCTGGGCACTGGTGTCCAGATGAGTCAGACAAGGACAGACATGAGCCTGTCCTTGGACAGAAGACCAATCTGGGACACTACAGTGTGATAGACACCATGACAGGAGACCCCACAATCCAACCCAGGGTAGCTGGAGTTGTGGGGAAGCAGGCTGGACCCCCTGGCAGAAGATCTGGGTTTGCCCTGTATATTTTCAGTTGACTGGGGAACTAGAGGGAAATGTGGGAAGGACGCTCTGAGTGCTGGGATCAGCGTGTGTTTAACAGCAAGGGAGGCGTGATTGGGGAACTGGTTATCATTTGTCCTGGGTCAGAAGGGGTGTGCAAGGAAACGATGGATGTGGAAGAACTTGTGGACCAAGCTAACCTGAGGTCACCTCTGGGGGAGGTGGGCAGGGGCCGGGGCATTTGAGTTGGGCCTTAAAGGAGGAGTTCAAATTGGCAGTGGCAGGGAGTGGCACTCCAGGCCAAGGGGACGGCTAACCAAAGGCAGGGAGGGTGAAACAGGACAGGGTCTTGTGGGAACTATACGCGGCCTGAGTGGCAGGAGGAGAGGTGCTGTGGGTGGTGAGAGGTGGCAGAGATGAGATGAACAAGGTGGGTTGGATACAAATCACCCCAGAGACCCAAAGAATAGGCTCCAAATGTATAAGAAGTCATGAAGGTCCAATTATGTGGGAAAAATAATTAGGTGGGACTACATGTAATACTGTAACATTTTTTAATTACAGCAGTTTCATAAGGGTCAACCTAATAAATATATAGCTCTCGATCATTATTTCCCAAATGGAACCCTAGGGAACACCGTTGTTTAAGAATAGCATTCACATCCTTGATCTCCCTTGTAGGACAGGAATTATTAGCGCTATTTCTTTGATAAGCAAACCGAGGCCCTGGGAGAACCCGAGGCTCCACAGCAAGTAACTAGAGCAGCTGGCCGGTGGGTGAGCCCTGGCCTCCTGACTCCGAGACCCCAGCGCTGTCTCTGGCTCCCGTCCTCTCTGCCTGCTTTCAGAGCCCGTGTTTATTCCCTCACACATAAGCTTGGATGGGATCCCTTTTCCACACAACTGTTTGTCTGGGAGATTCCACAAATCCTCTCCAAATGGCCTGCGTCCCCAAGCTGCTTGTCTGGGTGTGTTTCTGTTGAAAGGATAAGCCTGGAGACAGTTCTTCAGGGCAGCTGGATATCTCCCAGCTGCAAGGCTGATTTTCTCCTCCGTTTACTGGAAAGCCTCTCTTTAGAGAGATGCTTAATTACCCCTAAGCCGCTGGCTAGGAAGAGCTGGAAATGTCTTTGCAAATGGGGAAGGCAGACGGCTTTTTTCAGGTTTGCCCTCCCGTGTAAATGGGAAGGAGGAACTCCCATTTCTCAGGCACCTTCTGGGCACCGGGCACTGCTTCTGCCTCTTTATTTTCATTATTTCGTTTCAACATCATAACCACCCTACAGAAGTCACATTGTCCCCATTTTACAGATGAAGAACCTGAAGCTCAGAAAGATGATGTCATTGTCCCTAGGCCCCTTGGGTAATATGATCCCAAGTGAAAGAGAAGTTCAGTGTCAGTCCTGTTTAACAAGTGTGTATTGAGCCATGCTCTGTGTGGGTGCTAGAGACATGGAAGAACCCTTCCTTACTCCTTGAGTACCATCTGCACTGTAGGCCTTTAAGGCCACAGCTGGGGCTGTACCTCTCGCGAGACTGGGGCCAGAAAACAAGGTGTGCTCTGAGACACAGCCTCCAGCAAGTTAGGTGGAAAACTGGAGCCTCACTCCTAGACCTCTTCCAGGTGAGCTGAGGACTTCCTTGGCTTTATACATATGGTGTCCAGGGAAGTCAGGGATGGTACTGGAGGTGGCTCTGGGTGCTTAAAAGCATGTCTGATGAGCAAAGCCCTGTCTCTCCTTCAAGCCTGGTTATAATCTCCTTCCAAACATCCTTCCAGTCCTGTTGTCCAGTGCTTCCCCCTCACCCTCACTCTACTGTGCCCACTTGCTGTTCCCAGCACATGACCTTGGCTGTCCTACCCCTGACCATACCATACCTGATGTCCAGAATCCTCTCTGCCTTCCCACTCCCATCCCCAGTGAATTCAGTCTTACTCAGCCTTCAAGGCCCGGCCCAAATGCTTCCTCCTTCAGGAAGCTATCCTCGATCCCACTCCGTTGGAAGGGATTGCACGTCCTTAGGGCTCTCCCAGCACTTTATCTTTCTCATGGAATATTGGGTGGTCTCTACCTTGTGTATGCCTGAGACTTAGGTTCCTCCTAGATTGTGAACTCCTTAAGGTGAGGGCCTGAGTCTGATGAACGGATTGACCGATTCATTCCTTCAGGTGTTTAGGAAGTCCTTTCCGTGGTTCAGGCGCCGGATTCTTTCGTGGAGCTTCAGGTGCAGCTGTCTCTGTAGCCTCAGCACGGTGCCTGGCATAGAGTGGGCAGGCCCCCAAGAACCGTAGACGGCCCTCCCCACATGGAGGAGTCCCCTCCCACAACCTTCATGTTTTTCATCCAGCCAGGAGACTGTAGGGTAGTGCAGAGATTTCAGATAAGTGGCCTACAGACTGACTCCAGCTCATAAATGTATTCGGTTTTGGCCTGTTCAGTGTTGTTGTTTTTTTAAAGATTTTATTGGGGAATTGGGGGAGGGGAACAGTGTTGGGGAATTGGGGAAGAGGAACAGACAAGTTGTTGTTCTTCAGTCTTTGTTGTGGAGGACGCTAGTTGCCATCTGGCTTCCCGTCGGCAGCTCGTGGCCTCTAAGCTCAAGGTGCCGAGTTCAATCTTAGTTGTGGGTGGGTGTAGCCACCATCCCATGCAGGAGTCGAACCAGCAGCCTTGTTGTTAAGAGCACATGTTCTATCCACTGAGCCATCTGGGCGTCAGCTCAGCTCAAGGTGCCGAGTTCAGTCTTAGTTGCGGGTGGGCATAGCTCACCATCGAACAGGCAATCTTGTTGTTACACCAGCTGAGCCATCCTGCCACCTGTTGGCAGCTCAGCGACAGCTCAGCTCAGGCTCAGTGTCACTGGCCCATGTGGGAATTGAACCGGCGGCCCTGTTGCTCAGAGCTCGCGCTCTTAAGCCAACTCTTAACCAACTGAGCCACTCGGCTGGCCCCTGTTTTGAATTAATTGCTGATATTTCAAAAATGGGAGAATTTACATAAAAATATGGACATCCTACTCTTATGGAAAATCAGAAAATCTGGCATAATCGGCCCCACAAATGATGTCCTGAAATCTACAGAGTAGTTTCCTCCTTTAGAAGGAGCATTCACTCCCCCATTCACAATAGTCCTCACTATTCCCTACTGCTCCCTGAGATGGAGGCTGAGTGTTCGTTGCCATTAATCATCTCATACCCAGTTCTTCACTCATTGGCATGTTACCTGCGTGGCCCCTTAGTTAGTTGAGACCTCTGTAGTGAAAGCTGGAGGTGCTGTGGATTCTCATCCCGGCCTCACCATGTCCCTTCTATGTAAGCTTCTGGGCCTCATTGGAAATTGGGAGCGACAGCACCAATTTCATGGGATGATTAGGAGGATTAAAAGAGATAACACATGTAAAGCACTTAGCATTGCAGACAGGGCTCCGGGTTAATGGCTGGCGTGTGTTGGCCGTGTGTGCCTGTCCCAATGAGGCCTCCCTGTGTTTGCTCCCAGTGCTACCAGACTGGGCTCATGTCCCGCTATGTCGAGTCCTGGAGAGCAGGGGACACAGCTTTCTGGCGAGGACCTTTCGGAGCCTTCTTCTACAAACCAAACCAGGTCAGTGCCAGCATCCTGAGTCCTCAGGAGACCCCTCCCAGTGTAGCCTCCAGGACTACAGTTTCAGGTTTCAAGCTATGGGTTCTCACTGTACCATTCTTCCTGAGCCCAAACCTAATCCCGAGAGTATCCCTGGGGCTGGGCATGGGAGGAGATGGAGCAGGCACTAAGAAACAGAATTTCCTGCCCAGGCTTCAGAATTACCCATGGCTGCCCATGGCTTAGAAAATCGAGACTCATGCACTTGGTGCTTAGAGCCCCTGTCCCAGCTCACCCTCAGATATCATTCCAGATTTACAGATTTAGTTACAAGACTGTGGAGAACCACCCCTTAAATATGCCCCATGGCTCCCTGCTTGGGAGGCCACCGCTTCCTAGCCTGGAATGTTCTTCTCATCTTCACGTTATGTTCAAAGCCTTCCCTGACGTTCCCAGGAAGAATCAGTAATTTCTCATCAGCTGGTGCGTATCTGGCGAGGAATTTGGCAGTATGTACCAAGAGTCAAGTCCTTTGACCCAGTGATTCCACTTCTGGAAGTCTATGGAAAGAATCCAAAATACCAACACTTTTGCACATGTTCATTGCAGCCTTATTTATAATAGCAAGAAATTAGAGATAACTGAATATCCAACAACAGGGGAACAGTGAAATTCACTGGGTTACAGGTACTTGAAAGAATATTATCCTGGGTTTTAAAATTATTTTTAGAAATGCTGCTATATGTTCATGCTATAAGATCAAGTGACAAATACTACGTACAAAACTGAATATACAACAGGCTGGCAAACTAAGTTAAAAATGCACAGAAGGGCTGGCCAAGTGGCTCAGTTGGTTAAGAAATCGCCCAAGAGTGCAAGCTCTGAGCAACAGGGTCGCCGGTTCGATTCCCGGCCTGAGCTGAGCTGCTGCAGAGCTGCCAACAAGATGGCAGGATGGCTCAGCTTAAAAAAAAAAAAAAAAAGCGCACAGAGAAAAATATGAAAGAAAATGCAATGAAATGTTAGCAGCTCTGGGTGATCAGATAATGAGTGATTTTTATTTTCTTCATTATACTTTTCAAATTATCCACAATGAACACCTATTATCTTTATAATTAGGAAAACAAAGCAAAACAAAAACAAATGGAAAAGAATGAATCATTCCTCTCCATTCTTTTTGTTTAATTTAAAAATAGCTTCTATCGTTTTTTTATTACAAATGCAATACATTTCATTACAAAAAAAAATCAGCAGACATGGAGAGGTAAAAAGAAGAAAATAAAGAACATCTACAGGCCATCCACCCAGACATACCTTCCAAATGCTCTTTCACACATGGGTGTGTGTACAAGTGTGCACACGTATGTGTGTGTGATAATATCCAATGTGTATGTGGCACCTCCTCTGTGCCGGGCTCTGACTTTAGCACTTACCATGGAGTAACTCATTTAATCCTCACAAGAACCACTATGTACTTCTACCCCCATTTTACAGATATGTGGTGTGCATATATTACTACTCTTCTACAATATTCTCTAGTACTAACCATGCTCAGCCTTGCATTTTAGCTGATGGTGTCCCTGTGTTTCCCAGGCCCTTGAGGGCGGGGACTAGGAATTGTGTCCCCCCAACCTTGAAGGGCAGCTGATGAATGCGATCTTGACCACCTTTTCCAGGTGGAGCCTCTCCGTGCCTTGTGGCTGCTCCCCCGCATCTGTAGAACACCTCTGGAAAGCCCGTACTTCCTGTCTAGGGAGGTTGTAGGGCCCAACAGTGAGGAAGAAGAGATGGGGTCTCATACACTGACACTTGGCCCCTGATGGCGTCTAGGCTGGGCTCTTCCCCTGGGAGGAGGCTGGGGTGCTTTGGCCTTCTTCCCAGCCCTGTTGTGCTGCTGTGTGTCGTTTTCATTGCAGATGAACCTCACGACGTCAGCGCAGAGGACTAGTGCATTAGCATCTGCCTGTGCGTTCATTCCATAGATTTCCCAGGATCCCACCCAGGGCCAGGCTCCTGCTGGACCCTGGGGGCCCAAGATGGGTCAGAACAAGGCCCCTGTCCTCCAGAAGCACCAGTCTGATAGGGAGACAGACACACAAACAGATGACAACAACACAACATGACCAGTGTTGTGAGGAGGGGTGTGCAGAGGGCTGAGGGAAAACCAGGAGGGACCCCTGTCCCTGACTTGGGAAGTCTTCCCAGAGAAGAGCCTGAGCAGCGATGGGAGAAGGAGGAGGAACACGGCAGGCTAAAGACGGGGTGACTGGGAGAGCACAGATACAGGGCTGGATGGCATGGCCGGCAGGAGGGGCTCAGTGAGGGGGAGGATTCGAATTGCTAAGGCCCAGACTCTGCACCAGGCACTTTACGCCATCTCATTTAATCCTCACGACAATTCTGAGACAGGTGCTATTATGGGGAGGTGCTACTATTTTATCAGTGAAGAAACAGAGTGAAGAAAAGAGAAGTGAAAGGATTTGCCCAATCACGTGGCTAGGGATTTATACCTGGTTCTCTATGACTCCTGATACTCTAGGTGTGTTTCATGTACAAGTGTGGCATGCACTGATTGTCAGTAAAGTTAGTGAAAACCCAGACTGCATTCAAAAAAACAAACAAACAAACAAAGAGGCCTAATCTCTGTGAATGAGGGGGGTGAATACCTCACTGCACGGGTTAGTCACGGCACTGGCCTTAAAGAGGACTGCCCCTCTTTAAGAGGCCTAGAGCAGGAAATGGGTTCAGTGAGGAGGGGTTGATGGAACTGGGGCCTCCTGGGGTGGAAACTCACTTTTATTGCATGATGATGTATAGTCCAGAAAGGAGCAGGCTGAGGGGCCCAAGCCAGGGCCCTCAGATCGCTGTAGGGCTGTCCTGAGGCAGAGGAAGCAGCCCAGAGGGCAGGGCTGGAATGGGGGCGGTGGGCGAGGCTTTGCTGGGAGCAGGTTTCAGCTCATTGTGAGGTGGGAAGACCTCCCTGGCAAGGGGAGTCGATCCGTAATAGAGCAGACTGTCTCGGGAGGTAGTGGGCTACCTGTCAGCAGAAGTATGTAAGCAGAGTCCTGTGGAGATGCTTTAGAAGGCAACCAAGCCACTTACAGGATGGGCTACCCCTCATGTTCCCTTACGGCCCTCAGATTCCATGACTTCTGTTACACTGACCTCACAAGCAGTAGACTTTCACAAGCAAAGATGGCTACCTGGAGGAGGTAGAGGGGGAACTGAAATGGTGGGAAACAGGAAGGGCAGTGCCATCTGGGTCAGGCGAGCCCAAGCAAAGGCCCCGTAGTGGGTGGATGAGGTGCGACTCCCCAGCCCACCCCGTCACATACCCGTCCTGTTCCCCAGTACGGTGAGCTCCTCATGCTGGCTGCGGGCACCGGCCTGGCCCCCATGGTGCCCATCCTGCACAGCATCACAGACAATGCAGATGATGAGACCTTTGTCACCCTGGTCTGCTGCTTCAAGACCTTTGAGGACATCTACCTGAAAACCTTCCTCCAGGAACAGGCCCGTTTCTGGAACGTCCGCACCTTCTTTGTGCTCAGCCAGGTGAGCCCAGTGGTGACTGCCTTCCCTGATGGAGACTGCTGTGCCCTTGCACCCATCCTGAGGCCCTGCTGTGGCCTCTCTGCCCTGTGCTGGCCACTGGTTGAACCATGCATCTGGCAAAGAAGGCAGGTATTGTCATGTTCATTATGCAGATGAGGACACATGCTCAGAGAGGTGAAAGGTGCCAGCCGGTGTCGTGCTGCTAGATGGGGTAAAGGCAGGACTTGAGCCGGGGCTGTGTGATTCCAGAGCTCTAGCTCACCCAGCATGCTTTGCTGCCTGCCTCCGCCCTCTGGCATCATCAGTTATATGGGCTGGGGACCTGGCTGTGGAGTCAGTGGGCCAGGCCACAGATGTCCTCTAGGATAAGCTCCTTGAGGCAGGGACCCCCGTGTCTGGGTCACCATGCTCCCCCCTCTGCTTAGCACAGTGCCAGGCACAGAGTAGGTACTCCCTCCATCAGTGATTGGCAAAGTAAACTGGAGGCGAGTTCTCTGCATTTGTTAGAGCCCCTACCACACACTTTGTCCCTGCTAGGGAGGAAAGCTACTTTCCACCTGTCTAGGCTGCAGACACTCTAGCTGGAAGCGACTCTGCCTTCTGATTCCTCTTCCCTCTGATTCCCCACCCCTCCATTCACTCAGGCCTTCCCGGCGCCTCCACTCTGGGCCATAGCATGGGGGGGCCCATCATGCCCTTTATCTCAAGCCAGCCCCTCAGCTGTCTTTGTTCACCTGCTTTCCTCTGGTTGGTAGCTTTATTTGTTTTTCCTACACCCCCTGGGTTGAGATCCCCTGCTAAGACCGCCCCTCCATTCTCTGTTGCTCAGGGTCAACTTATTGCCCTGTACTTTGGAGCACTCTTCTTATCAATTTCCTCTTTGAAACAGCTTTAGAGTGTTCCTAAAGACCTACGTGATCCTTGACATTATGGCTGGGTGGGGGGTGACAGGAAACTGGGTTTCCGGTCCCAATACCAAAGATCCAAGGATTCCCCAGGGGCCAGGGTCTGCAGGCCTGGCCGAGAGGCAGAGTCATCGAGAGGGTCATGCTTGGTGACATTAGTAGCAGCAGCAATGCCCACGGCAGGGGAAGGAAACAGAAGGCTAGTGTGCAGCCTGAGTGGGAGAGGGGGTGACAGCAGGGCCACCACTGCCAGGCAGCGTGCTCAACCCTGCCTGAGGGCCTGCTCAAGGAGGGCGGGAGGAGGGGCAGGAAGCAGGCACCTGGCAGAGTTGCCCCTACTGGCCAGCCTTCCTTTTCCCAAACCACATGCCAGGTTCTCACCTGTGTATGAGGGACAGCTACAGGGATGGCTGACAATGGCTCCCCTTGACCGAGTACTTCCTCTGTGCCTGGCACTGTTCTCAGCACTTTATGTGTGTTAACTCATGCCACCCCCACCACAGTCTTACGAGGCTTGTACTGTCATCATGCCCATTGTACAGATGTGCAAACTCAGGCACAGAGATTTAAGAACCTTGCCCAAGAGAACGCAGTAAGTTGGTGGAGAGCTGGGTGTGAACCCGGGTGGTCCTGCTCCAGAGCCCCTGATCTTACTGCTCACCGGTGTAAGACTGCACAGGCATGGGTGCTGCTGAGAGCGTTCAGGAGGCTGCAGCAAGCAGGGAGGGCTTCACAGAGGAGGTGGTGTATGAGCCCGGGCTTGAGGGTAGAGTTGAAGTTTACCGGCAGTAGAGGGCCTGGGGCTTTGATAATGCCAGTGGCCTGCGGTGGGGCAGGCAAATGGGCTGGCCGTCGACGGCAGGGGTGATGCAGTGCGAGGTGCCTCTTGCCCATCCGTGCTCCTTCCAGTCAGGGTGCTCCCTCCTGCCTGGGCCTTAGTGGCAGCATCTTCAAGCAGCTCCCTGCTCTAGCCACCCCTGCCAGTTTGTCCTTCATCCTGCAGCTGGAAGGGCAGCTCCGACCACACCAGCGCCCTGCTTGCAGCCCTTCCCTGGCTCCCCACTGCTCTCAGGACACAGTCCAAGCCCTTACCGCTGTGCCAGCCCTCTTTGACCTTGTCTCCTAGCCCTCCCTCCTTGCATGCTGTGTGCTGCTGTCACTGGTCTGCTTGTGGTTGCAAGTGCTCTGTGCTTCTCCAGCTGCCAGGCCTCTGCTCACAGTGTTCCCCTTGCCGGGAGCACTTTCCCCCACATCTTTAACACCCACTCTTCCCTCATCTCTCCGCTGAGGTGTAATTCCACCCTGGAAGCTTTCCCTGAGTCCCCCAGCTGGTGTAGATGTTTCTGCTCTCACATCCTGGGCCCTCCTTCACAGCACCCCCCACCCCCCACAACAACCCCTATCCCCACCACCACTGCACCATCATTGTTTATGGGTCTCCTCCCAACCTGAGCAGCAACCAGACCAGTGCATCTCTGGGTGCGCAGTTGGGATGGCTGAGCTGAACTTAACTGGCCTGAGGGAAGTGGGCAGTAAGGAGAGGTGAGGCCAACAGCCCTGCAGGTCCCTGCCCTCAGGGGCCCATGGGGTGTGTCAGAGGATGGAGGGAGCACAGGGACATCAGGTCATCAGACAGGACCCCCTGTCAGCACCACAGTGCTGTCCCCTGAAGGCTCTCAGTGTCCCACGAACTCTGCGAGGTGGGCTCCAAGGGAACGCACCTGAAATTAGAGGCCTGCACTCACAGAGTCCCTGCCAGGGTTTCCCCATCAGCCTGCGCTCATCACAACAGCTCAGAGAGGTCACTGGCACTCACTGGGAAGTGGCAGCAAAGCTCGGATTCCAGCCCCCATTCCCATCTCCATCCTGCCTCTGGTTAGCCCCAGGAGCTGGAAGCTTCGTAATGGGGTCTGCAGAGGTCTGAATAGACCTATTCTCTCGGGGGTTTGTTTGTTTTGGGTGCTTATTACATGGTTTCTTCTCTGTTAAAGTTCTTTATATATACTTAGTGATGTCTATAATTTTATATACATATGTTATACTTCAGCAAAATGTTTACTTGAGAAAAAGTCTTCTAAGTCAGCTGGTGGTGGAGCTTTTCTCAGGCACCGTTCAGCCCTGGAACTACCTCGAGCCTTTTTATGTGAGGGAAACACCCCCCTCTCCTGGTTAAGGCACTGCCGTCTGGGCTGTCTGATACGCACAGGCAGGACGAGGCCAGGAACCTTGTTTGTTTAGAGCAGCTGCCATGTCCCCAGTGCCTGGCACAGTGCCAGGCCCAGAGTGACCACTCAGTAACCATCTGTTAATAAGTTTATTGGAACCTTTAAACAAATGAACAAAAGTTATGCTCCAAGGGTGATGGTGCTAGACAACCTTGGGAAAATTCTGGGAGACCCACAGTCACGGGAAATGCCCCACCCCCCAAGTGACAGGTGCAGCGGTCCCCCAGAGGCAGTGAGAAACAGTGGGGCCCGAGTTCCAGTCTTGCCACTGCCCCTGCCTCGTGTGCCCTGGGGGGGCGTCCCTCCTCCCTGTGCCTCTGCTGTTGTAGGAGGACGACTGTCCACCCACTGGCTGGTTGTGAGGGTGACCTGAGTCCCCGTGTAAGGAGGTGCCTGGCTCGTGATAGGGCTAGGTGGAGGTGGCCTTCCCATCCCCCTGCCTCAGTTTCTTCATTTGGCAGAGAAGAGCTGGCTGCATGAACTCAAGGGCCCCCCAGTAATCACCCCCACTGTTTCTCATCCCAGGAGAGCTCCCTGGAGCAGCTTCCCTGGAGTTACCGGGAGAAAACCCGCTTTGGCCGCCTGGCCCAGGACCTGATTGAGGAGCTGGTCGGCTCCTGTCGGAGAAGGCCGTTTGCGTTGGTCTGTGGCTCGGCCGAGTTTACGAAGGACATGGCCAGGTGCTTGCTACGTGCCGGCCTGACGGAGGACTCCTACTTCCTCTTCTAGGCCTGGACTCCCTGGCAAAGCCCAGGCCAGGGGCCTGCCATTGGGACATAGGAAGGAGCGCAGACTAGAATCAGAAGTCGTGGACCACCACTCATTTGCCAGGTGACCTTGGGTGGATATCTTTACCTCTGTGCACCTCCATTTCTCATCTACCCTATGAAGTTACTGACTCCCTCAGGCAGGCATCCTGCTGTGCGAAGGACGGATGGGCTGTAGGAGGCCAGGAAGGAGAGTAGCCAGCCTGGGAGTCAGGGAGGACTCTCCAAAGGAAGCCATGTCCAGGCTGAGCCCCAGGATGAGGAGGAGTAGGCAGGAGAAGGGGCGGGAGGAGCTTCCCCAGCTCCTCGGGTTAGGCGGCTCGTGCGGGGCTTCTGTTGGACCCTGCTCTGGAATGTCTGTTCCAAAGCCTGCTTCCCCTGGAGACCGGGTTTCCCTGTGTGGGTATCCTGTAAGGCCTCAGGGCTGGCTCAGAGGAGGTGCTCACTCAGTGTTCAGGGAATGGCCATCAGGGCGGCTGAGAACTCTTTGGAGGAGGAACTTGCCTTATATACCTCCAGCGCCATGATCTGACACATCCAAGGTCTTGCGTTCTGTGACCTGACCACATTCGCAGAGTGAGGTGGGGCCTTGAGTGACCTTTGGTTTGCATTGGCCCTAGGCCTTTCCTGCTGCAAAGGCTTGGCTCTCAGTCTCCCTTCCCTGGCTCAAGAGCCCAGCCCAGAGTCCTTTTACCAGCAAAAGAGGCACAGACTCAGACGCCCCTCCTTCCTGCAGGCAGCCAGCTCAGCCCTTGCCTTCAGCTCTGGCACCCTGGCTACAGTTGCTATGGAGATCTAAAGATAGAGCAGGAGTCAGGAGACCTGGGTCCTTCTCCCTGCTCTGCCCACTGAGTGGCTACTGCGTTCTGATCCACCCACCTCTCCTGTCTATGCCCCGCCCCCTCCATCCTGCATGGGGCTGCCCTCCCCAGGGAAGCCAGCACTTCTGGGCAGCGCACTGCAGTTAATGAAGTCTGCTTTTCGTAGCCTGGGCTCCAGTGCACTGCACCAGCTCAGGCTGGCTACAGGCAGTCCCTGAATCAGAGTATTAAGTCATGGAATCTCAGAATGAGAGAACCATAGAATCGTAGAGTTAGAATTTTATAGAGTCACAGCCCTCATCAGATCAGAGATTAAAGGACTCCAGAAAGCATCCAGTCTGTCAGGCTCATTGTTTCAATGGGGAAACCGAGGCCTAGTGAGGCTAACTGACCTGCCCAAGGTAAAACAGGTCATGGCAGTGCCAGTACTAGAAGCCAGGCCTCCTAATGTCAGCCCTGTGCTCAGAGTCCTGTACCAGTGATTTTCAAACTGAGTTCTCTGGGACACAAAGGTTCCTGGCATGGCAGCAGTGAAGGGATGGCCAGATGGGATCTTCAGGCCCCCACTTCAACCAGAGCAGTTCTATTTTTATCCAATTTATATCTTGGGGCTTGCATTAATTTTTATTTGTGAAAAAGGGGTTTTTTGCAGTATCTAAAAAGTTGCGGCAAATCTCTGTTGTTCTGTGTTCAATAAATACGACAAGCAGTTGGGGGATGGTGCCAAAGCTTTCAAACGGTTTCACAGGCTGAATTCCATGGTCAAACAGATACGGAGAATACTGCACATGACCTTTGTCAAGGATCATATGTCCATGAGTATGTTAAAGGCTCTGAAAAGTCCAATGGCAAAGAAACTTTTTTCTTTTTTTTTTTAACTTTATTGGGGAACAGTGTGTTTTTCCCAGGACCCATCAGCTCCAAGTCAGGTTGTTGTCCTTCAATCTTAGTTGTGGAGGGCGCAGCTCAGTTCCAAGTTCATTCGCCGTGTTCAATCTTAGTTGCGGGGGCGTGCAGCCCACCATCTGGTGCGGGAGTCGAACTGGCAACCTTGTTGTTAACAGCATGCGCTCTAACGTTCTGAGCCATCCGGCTGTCCTTTGGCAGCTCAGTGGCAGCTCAGCTCAAGTCGTTGTCTTCAATCTAGTTGTGGGAGGGGTGGGGTGTGACACCCCCCCCCCATCCGATGTGGGAGTCGAACCGGTAACCCTGTTGCTCAGAGCTCACGCTCTAACCAACTGAGCCACTCGGCCGGCCCTTTTCTCATTTTGTTGACTCAGAGTTTCCCAAGCTTATTTAACCATAGAGCATTTTAATCCATTAGAATCTTTTGAGACTAGTGTTGCATAAAATATGCGTTGGGAAACGCTGGTCTGTTGCATAGCCTCCTTTGAGCACAGTGTAATGTGTGGGAAGGTCCTGCACTGACTCACAGGTCCCAGCAGGAACTGTGACTTCTCTCCACCTGCCTTGTGACTTGGGCAAGACACGTTTCTTCTCTCAGGACCCCAGAAATCTGGGCGTCTTCCGCTCTCTCTCAGCACATCACATCCTATTGATTCTCCTCACAGATACTCCTGGAGGGCCCATTATGAGCCAGACTTTGTTCTAGGCACCAAGGAGACAACAGTGAACAAGACAGGTGCAGTTCCGGTAAGCTCCACTGGGGAGCTTACAGCCCGAAAAGGAGGGCAGAAATTAAACTGGTAATTCTGAACGGGATGGGTGTTCTAGCAAGGGGATTATGGAGAGTGGACGGCAAGCGTTTTTAGCCTCTCCTAGGAGAGGGCCAGGAACACGTCACTGCACTGAGGGTAGAGGCTTGAAAGGCAACATCCTTACTCATAAGGGTGGTAGGGGGTCCCCACTGAAGGGGTGGGAACCTGGGGCAGTTCTTCTGTGTCTGTTTTTGTCCCCTTTTACAATAGATACTGGATGTTTAGATAGTATACTGGGTCACCCAGTGGTAACCAACAGCCTCTCTTATCCTAATGTTGTCCTCTCCTTCCCCTCAACCCATGTGGGATCTGTGCGGCCTGGACACTGGTGGGGTCTCTTATGGCACATTGGTGGGGACCCAGCCATGCCCTTGGTGCCAAGGTGCCAAAGGGCTCATATCACCTGGAAACTCGAGAGCTCACAGCGGAGTACCATGCCTCACAAGATGCCATTGCTGCCATCTCTCCTGCTAATGTCCCCGCCACATGTCGTGGGAGGTATGCTGTCGGTGATGGTAGCAGAAACGACAGCTGCCTTGCTCCAGCCCCCGTGTTTTCCCTATGCCCCTTGAGCAGTCCCCTCACTGGTGTCCCAGCCTCCAGCCTCTTCCCCCACACGCCTTTACACACTGCAACCAGACTGATGATTTTTTTATCGTGGTAAGAACACTTAACATGAGATCTACCCTCTTAACACATCTTTAAGTGTACAGTGCATCGTTGTTGACTGTAGGTGCATTGTTGTACAGATCTCCAGAGCTTATTCATACCACTTTTTCTGACATGCAGATCTGAGCCCGTCACTCCCTTGCTTAAGATCCTTCAGTGGCTCCCTGCTGCCCTCAGGATACAGCCTGTCAGCTTTGTTTACCTTTCCAGACTTATTTTATGTTACTGACCCCTTGCCCCCAACTCTTACGTTCCAAACGTGTCCCCTTGTGTCAGTCAACTCCTTCACATTTGTTGCTCCCTCTGCCTGGGTCCTGCCACGCTCCTGTCTCCCCCTCGCCCTCGCCTCCTTGTCTTTTGAGGGCTTTGCTGAGTGTCACTTCCTCTTGGAAGCCTTGCCTGCCTCTGCCACTCCAGGCTCGATTAGTGAGCAGCCTTGTGCGTTCTTCTGTTGCTGCGCCTCTCACACTGTCTTGTTTGCATGTGAGCACATCTAGGGCCCCATACCGAGGCCTGCTCATTGTGTCCCCAGGTGGGAGGAGGGTACTCAGTACATCCTGGGTATAATAAACGACTAATACTCATGGAGTCCTTTACAAGTTGCAAAGTGCTTTTCATCTAAATTGAAGCAATAGTCATCACCCAAATGATGCTATTTTATTACCCCAATTTACTGATGAGGAAAGTAAACTTCTAAGACATTAAGCAGTTCTCCAAGGTCATGTAGGGGTACACAAATTCCATCCAGCGTGCGGCAGTTACCAAGGTCATATGGGACACATGAGTGCACCAGGAGATGTGTATGAAGATTTGCATTGCTGCACTGTTTGAAACAGCAAAGAATAAAAACTACCTCTATGTCCATCATTTAGAGAAATGCACGGTTCTATAGAGATCCCTGCAGCAGAATACCACGCAGCACTTAAAGTGAATGAACCAGGTCTACATGTATCAACATAGACTGAATCCTAAAAACATAATAATTGAGTGAAAAGCAACTGTAAAAGGAAAGGTACAGTGAGATACCCATATTTGGAAAGTTGAAAAAACAACACCAAATGCTCAGGAAGGAGATCCACCAACTTCAAAGACAGTGGTGACCTCTGGGGACAGAGGGAAGGGTATAGGATAGAGTGGGGTGGGGGACTTTCATCTGTGTCACTTTATTATAAAAATACTAATATTTGAAATAAATATGGCAGAATATGAACATTGGTGAATCTGGGTGATGAGTTCACTGACTCTGCTTTATTATGTTCTACCTTTTTTGTGTTTGAAATAGTTCCATAATTAAAACATTTTAAAATAAGATTAAATATGCCTACTCAAAGTGCTTCGGAAACTAGAGGCTTGAAAACATTCATTTCCCCTCCCCCACCCCAGGATAGGCTATGGCCCTTTATGCCTCCAAGCTTTTCATTCTCTCATTTGAAACAACTTGTGAGCACCTACTGTGTGCTGGCCCTGGTCTAGATACAACAGTAAGAGTATAAATTACGCCAATTATGCCCAGCACTCCTAGCTTTCACGCCATTCCCTCTGTTTGTCCCTCTTCTTTTCCTTGTGAACTTGAACCAGAGTGATTTTCCAGACACCACAGTTTGGGACTCCTTTTTCCTTTTTTTTGTTTTGTTATATTTTGTTCCTTTTTAAATGAGGCAGACCTAGGTTCAGATCTCTTACTGATTCTGTAAGTATTCAGGGCACATAAGCTGGTCTTTCTGAGCCTCAGTTTACTTATCTACAAAATAAGGATGGTAGCATGTCTCCCAGGGTCGTGTGAGAATGAGGGAAACGTGATGCCCACGCACAGCACCTGCCACGGGATGGGCATGAGAACCCAGTCCCCTTCTCTCCCCTCCCTGGTGGCCCTTCCCAGCAGTGCCCGGCTCGTGGCCTCTGAGGACAGCAACTGTTCTCAAACTTTTCACTGTCAGCATTTACCCTTTTGTGATTTTTCCCATGCTTTGGAAGATTTTGATCCCCAATTGCATGTATTAAGTCATTATTAATTTATCTCCCATTTTTTATTAATCAAAGACATAGATAGCTGCCCCTTGGAGCTTCTGATCTGTACACCCAGCTGGGAGCTGCACGTGGTTGGCATAATTCCAGCCACAGGCGAAGGCACTCAGCAGTGTGTGTGGCCTGGGTGGCCTGAGGAGGGGTAAATGTAGGTGCATCATACTCGTTTCCTTTTAATTGATCATGAATTATGGAAGCTGCTGGCCTTACCTGGGTGGGCGCTGCTTTGACAGGTCACCGACTGATGGGCTAGGGGCTGAGTTTTCAGGGCCAAGCTCCAGCACGGGGCCCCATGTGGGTCCCAGGCCCCTCCCTCATCTCACAGGGCTCTCTCCAAATAGATGACGTGCACCAGCACCACACAGAAGAGTGTGGGGTTCACGTAGCTGTCAGCATGCAGGTCCCATGGGTTCTGGCTGGAGGCCGCCACGTCATCCTGCCCCTTGCTCCCGATGCTGCCAGAGCACACTAGCTTGTAGCAGGGAGGGGTGACATCCTTGACCGGGTCCTGGATCTCGGCACTCAGCACTGCGGCCAGGTGGGCACACTGGGCTGGATGGTAGGCCACACCAGCCAGCTTGGAGGGCAGGAGAGCCTGTATCAGCTCCTCCACCTGGATGCAAAGGAACTTCACCTCCAGCTGGTCGACCACAAGGCACCTGGAAGGAGAGGAGGGAGGTGATGGGATGTTTGTAACAAGGAACATAGAATTCGGGCTTGGAGCCTATTATGTTGGACATAGAACCCTGAGTTGGAACATACAGTTTGGGACATTGGGATGGAAAATGGAAGGCAGAACCTGGAACACAAGAAAAGACGTGTGTGACTGCACAGTACTGTGCAGAGATTAACCTGGCTCAGCCTACAATACGCGCCCAAGGGCCCGAGGCCCTGACTCCCCTCCCTCTTCCTGCACTCCAGGCACCTGCCAGGCCCACACCTGCTCCTGGATGATGCTCATGGCCGCTGGTGGTTCAGCTGGAGCCTCCAGTGTGTTCTCGAAAATGTCCAGTTCTGTAAAAGTGAAAGTGAGCTTGGAGATAAACAACATTTGCTGGGCGCAATCCTCCCTCCTCACTTTCTTCCCATCGGCCCAGGAACTGGAGGCTGTGAAGGTTACGTCCTTGGCCCGTCCGGTCTTATGGGAAGTCATTCCCAGTGTGGCCTTCACTCCCCAGCCTTTGGGAACAGGGACAGGGCAGAATGACTGTGAGAGAAAAACAGAGATTCAGAGAGACTGGAGAGAGGCGGGGCTGCGACTTCCTCCTCCTGGCAAAGTCCCAGCCCTGGGGCTGGTGTGTGGCTCCCAGGGGTGTGAGGAGCCAGCAAGACCCCATGGGCCCGCCTCCCGCCATCCCCGAGGACTCCACCCAGCCCTCCACCGGCCTTGGCTCCGTTGGGTCCTGCGTCCTCCTGCGTCCCCTGCATTCAGCTTTCCACCTCCCTCCTTGACCCTTCACCTCTCTCCTAGTTGTTCTCTCTCTATTCCTGCCCCGTTTCTCCTTCCCCTCATCATATAGGGCCCCCTTGCCCTTCCCCACACCCACTCACTGCTGACCCTGTGGCTTTCTATCAGGCCACAGGAGAGGAAGTCTGGAAGGCGATGCACCCATCTCTTACCAGGCAGGGCCAGCCCCTACTGATGGGAGCAGAGGGTGGGGTGCTCCCTAAGCGACCCTACCTCCTGGCCTCTGCCACCGGGACTGTACTCATGGAAAGCTCCCCTAAGTCCCCAGAGCTCTAGTTCATGGAGAGATGTGGCTCCCTGGGGCCCAGCCAGGAACCGCCAGGGGTGGCACAGCCTCCCTGCCTCACCTTTTGTCAGCCCAGACTGTTGTGGAAAGGGGGAACATTAGGCAGCACCCATGCTATCCCTCGGCACCATGCTTGTACTCGGGTACAGTGACAGAGTGCAGATACGAAAACGAAACTGCCCTAGCGAGGAGCCCCAGACAGAGATGTGCACACGAGGACTCTACAAGCATAGGTACTTAGAATTATGAACACTTAGGCTCTGATGTACACACCTGGAGGTAATAATTTTACACTGAGACACAGACCGGTACCCCAGCAGAGAGCTGTGTACTCATGGCAATAGATGTGACTTCTAAATGTTCACATGTGGAGGGCCGGCCGAGTGGCGCGATGGTTAAGAACTGGCTTGGGACGCCAGAGGGCCCCGGTTCGGATCCCACATATGAGGGCCAGTGACACTGCCCTCTACAGCTAAGATGCTGAACAACAGCTCAACCTGGAGCTGGGCTGCCCTGAGTCGCCGGCGACGGCGTAGGCTGCAGCCCCTGTGGCAGTGGGTTGCCATGGGCTACCGTGTGTAGCCAGCAGCCAGCGTGAGCGGCCAGCAGCTGCAGTGAGCGGCCGTCCAGAAGCCGGCGACTGATCTGCCTCGCTTGGGAAGAGCTCAATGATGGTGCCAACTTGGGCCAGTGAAGCCACATCCTCCACTAGAATGAAGAACAAAACAACAGCAACTTGTCTGTTCCCCTTCCCCCAATTCCCCAGCATTGTTCCCATCCCCCCAATTCCCCAATAAAAATCTTTAAAAAAAAATAATAAAAAAAATAAATGTTCACATGTGGAGAGGCACATATCTCCTGAGCTTGTCATGCATACATGCAGCTGTGACATTTGCACTTAGATATGGATATACACCCACTGAGAGACATTCTCACCCAAATCTCCGTATAGATCCAGAGAGAGAGCTGGGTACATGCAGGTCTAGGTGCCTACCCATAGACATAGAGGCAGAAGTATGTGTGACACATGTATACACAGAGATGGGCATATGTACAAAGAAACAGAGATGAATGCACAGTGCTGGGTGCAGCCACAAAAGGGCACATTCACACTCAGAAATGGACAGTCACCCACAAAGACTAGTGTACTTGGTGCCCGATGCATAGACACTAAGACGGGTTCTCGTCCTGGAGAAAACAGCACGACCAGATGATGACGCAGGGGCATCCAGAGACAGACAAATATGCACAGTGACAGGAGCGCGTGCATGGCAGCTCCCGTCTGCCGCCCAGACATACGACGTCCTGTGTCTTAGCTCTGGGGTGCTGCGGAGCCAGCAATGGATACGAGGCTCATTTCTATGCCAAGACGCACATGGAAGTTTGAGGGTGGGTCCTTAGAGCTCAGTGGGGCACCCGCTGACAGGCCCCCCGGTGCCTAGGGTTGACTGTCTTGTGAGCAGCTCAGGCACTCAATGACCCTGGCAGGCAGTTGGCAGGTGCCTTTGTTGCTTCTCCACCACCTTCCGTGGGGCCCGAGAGAGAAGGCTGCTGATCAGAGGGAGGGGCAGCCGGGCAGGGGAGGCCCCATTCAGAGGTGACTTCAAGGAGAGATGGGTTAAAACAAGGTGCAAGAAGACTGGAGGTGTGGGAAGCATTTGGAGCTCACACAAATGGGATGCAGGATAAGGGAAAACAGGCCCTCCGAGCTTACTATACCAGCACTCCTCTACGCACCCCACATGTCTTACCCATTTAATCCTCACGACGTCCAATGAGATGCCATTCTCAATTCACGGGTAAGGAAATGGAGGCCTGGAGAGATGAAGTGCTTGTCCACAGTCATACAGCCAGTAACTGCCAGAGTTGAACCCACATGGTCCTGGTTCTAGGAGCTCCATGCCTAACTGCCACACCAGACCATCCTGCCACTCACGCTTTGGACACAGATGAACATGGACTTGAATTGACAGGATGCTTTCCGGCTATGTGTTCTTGAGCAGTTCAATCCATAAATGGCAGCTGAGCATTTAGGATGTGTTAGGGGAGGGTGTGCAGTGGGGACCCAGGCAAGTGAGAGTTCGTGCTCTGGGCTAAATCCTGTGCTGGGCGCTGGAATGAAACCCCAAGACAGAGGACATTCACAGAAAAACCAGCCAGCCAGAGCGCAGGTGGGCCTCTCCATGCTGGGGCTGAGCCCAGGGAGGGGCAGAGTCAGGGAGGGGTTTGGGGTATCATCAGGACAACTCCCTGGGGGAGGTAACTGCGTTTTGAAGGATGAATAAGAGTCTGTCAAGGATGGAGCAGAAAGAAGGGCCCTCCAGGATTAGGGCGCAGCATGTGAGAAGGGAGAGAGATGCCTGGTGGCCGGTATGTGGAGCTCAAGACGGGGAGAAAGTCTGAGAGGTGCTGGGGGAGCGGGTGTCCCGAAGAAGCCTGCGTGCCAAGCAGAGGACTTTGGATTTTATCTTGAGCCAAGAGGTGATATTGTTAGATTAGCATTTCAGAAAGATCAGAGTAGAAAGTGGTTTGAGATGAGCAGGCAGCAGGCAGAGCCGACACTCAGGCCAGTGAGGAGACTGCTGTGATTGCGCAAGAGAGAGACAGTGTGGGTTGTGATGGCTTCGGAAGTTGTTTCACAGCCTAAAGTGGTGACCAAGGTCAAGTGTGACCATGGATGTGGGGGTGAGGGGAAAGGAAGTCACAGCAGCTCTGACATTTCCACTTGGTAGGTTGGTCGTGCCACCACATTAATAGGAAATGCGAAAGGAGTTTGATGGAGTTGGGGGGCAGCTATGAGTTCAGTTTGTGAGCTGCTGGTTTCGAGGGGCCTGAGCAGCACTGTGGTGGTTGCCAGCTCCGCAGCCATCCTTGCGTTGCTAACCAAAGCCTGGTTTTGTTGTGGTAGCAATATGCCTCGTCTTAGGGGGTGAATCGTGCTAAGCCAGTCCTGGTAACCTGCTCCTCTTTGCCAGTGATGCTCTTGGGCTGGGCATCAGCTTGGGCTGTCCCGGGAGCAGAACTCGAGACAAGGATTTAAATGCATGAGGTTTATTTAGGCGGAAAAGGGGACACTGGTAGGGTTTAGTGACCAGGAAAGTTGCTGGTGACCAAATCATTTGAACTGTAGTGCAGTGCAGCAGACCTGGGAGCGGGGAGGAAAGAAAGGGACGGTAAGAAGTGTAGACACTGCTTGCAGGAAGCTTGGCTGGGACAGCCAGCAGATGACAGGATGGGAGCTAGGGGGAGTGTTGGGGTCATGGAAAGTGTTTGTGTCCCCATGATGGGGAGACCTGCATGTGCTTAAATGTGAATGAGAGAAAGCCAGCCAGGCAGGAGAGGCTGAGGTTATGGAGAGAGGCTGGAGCTAATGGGGAGTTAGGTCCCTGAGCCAGGGGGAGGGGTGGGCTCCGGACAGGTGGAGGGATTGTCTTAGACAGGAGATGGGAAGGGTCTAGGAGCACTTGTGGACAGGGGGAGCGGTGTAAGATGGTGGGGTTCTGCTTTCTGGCTTGCCTGCTTACTCTGTAGGAAGGGGTGGGGTCATCTGCAGAGCGGGTGGGGATGCACTGTCTCTGGGAGAATGGTGACCATCTGGGTTGAGATTAGTGGAGACTCACAGGGAGAGCCACCTAAGGAAACATGAGAAAGTAGCAGGGGGTGGGGCGGACTGAGCCCCCAGATGAGGCTGGAGACCATGAATGGATGCTGTGCTGACTACATGGTGAGAGGACTCTGCTCAGCAGTGCTCAGAGGTCCAGATGCACAGGGAGAATGTGGCCGGCAGGGCTTGGCCAGCAGATGTCATGAAAGGAGAGCTGGATGACCCTGACCCTGGAATCTAAGCCCATGAGGGAAGATGGGACAAGGGGTCTGCGAGGTGGGGGCAGAACAGCAGGGAAGAGAGATGAGTGTCGGGAGGTTGCATGACAGTGCAGGAAGAGAGGCGGTTGCTCCGGGGCATCGGAGCAACATTTCAGAGATGAGTGACTTGAGGGACTGCAAGTCTGGGGTGTAGTCACAATAATTCAACAGTCTTATATTATGGATGCTTCAGTTGATGCCATCACAGTTCTGCCCACATCCTGCAACATTTGCCATTCTCAGGTACGCAGGTCATTCACAGGCAGGTTGGAAATGCCTGAGGATGATGCCAACAGCAGCTTTCACCCAGGGGCAGCTGGCAGTTGGTGGACAGACACTCGCTTCCTTGCTCCTCCGTGGGACAACTTGGGGTTGGGTCTACACTGTCTAAGGAGGTGCCCTTGGGGGTTGAGCCTTCGTTGCCCACATGGCAAGCTGCTCATTAACACACCCTGAACGGGCTTCTTCTCATCCCTGTCTTACTTCCCCCCCTTCCCCCACCCCCACCCCATGTTTCCTGGGATCTCCTCCCAAATAAACTCCTTGCTCTCCAGTCCTTGTCACAGAGTCTTCCTGTGGAACAACTCAACCCAAGACAGTGGCCCAAACCTTTGAGCTTCAATGTCCTCCTCTGTAAGATGGGGAGTCTAATATGTGCCTCTGAAATTGCGAGGACACACCACATAGTGTATGGGAGGCTCCGAGCACCACGCTCAGCACTTCGCAGGCCCTGGGCTAGCTTCCTCTCGCTCACACACAGCGGTTGTTTAATAAAAGCTCCCGTCTCCTCAGACAGCCCAGGACAGCTGAACCTTTCTGTTCCTGCCAATCAAGCCCCATAGGTAAGCCGATGCCTCAGGCCTGACTATTCCTGATGCTCTCTGCTGAACACCTTCCAGGTGGCCTCCCGTGCTGGCAGCAAAGGGCTCCCTGGGGACCTCCTGACAACAGGATGGGCCAGAGGCAACATGTGGCCTGGCAGATGGATGCCTGAGTTCCTCTGAGGTAAATAAAAATCATACTGGCTGCTATGCACGGACCCAGGCACTGGCTAAGACTTCTCATACATTATCTCATCTAAGGCTCTCAGCAAACTGCAGGCTACAGTTACTCTTGTTGCTCAGCAAGGAGGCTGGGCCTCAGAGAGGCTGGTGGCTTTCCCAGGTTCCCGCAGCCTGGCCCTGAGTGGTAGAGCCAGGATTCAGACCTTGTTGGTCAAGCCAGAGCCCAGGCTTCTCACTGGGGGGCAGAAATGTGCCCCATTCACCTCAGATGCCCCACGTCTGGTGCAGGCTCTGAGCAGAGGAGCTTAGGAAATCAGCGTTGGGCTGAACTGAACCAAATAAGTCTCTTAAGGAAACAGGCCCTGCTTCCTGCTGGACATGCAGCCCTGGAGGGCATTTCTTCAGCCTAGCTCAGGGCTTGGCACATAGGGATGTTCAAGCAAGGTTTGGGGATCAGGAAGGAATGAACATTTAATATTCTTGGCCAGAATTTACACCGTGGTCCTGGTCTGTGGTTGCATTAGGAGTTGTACAATGTGATTTCCCATTCTGTTATTCCTGCTGCATTCTTCCATGAAAAAGGCTTTTCCTTCATCAGCAGTCCACTCCAACGTCCTTTGCTCGCCCTCTGAACTAGTCTAAGCATGTCTGAAGGATGCTTAGAGGCTTCTTTCAGCTCCCCTTATGAGTGGGGGATGAGAAAAACCTGTAACAAGCACCCATTATGTGCTTTAGCATACGTTATCACATTTCATTTCCACAATAGCCCTATAGGCAGGGCCAAATGGCCCCATTGGACAGATGAGTAAGACTGAGACCCAGGGGATTTAGATGATTTGTTAGAGGCTGACCGGGAATGGATTCCAGATCTACCTAGCCCCCAAACTCATGCCCTTTCTCCATCAACAAATCCCCTTCCAGCCCCAGTTTGCTTCCCTTCCTGATGCAGTGTGGCCAGTGCAGATCTCAGAACGTGTAAACCTGGTGACACTAGATCTGTCACCTTAGGGTGGAGTGAAGGGAGAACCTGGGGATCAGCTTACTAATTCAAGGGGCCAATGAATTATTCATACCACCATTAACTTGGGGGCCCTTTCAGCCTCACCTCTCTTTCCCCTGCTTGAGACCCTCAGATTCTGGCCTGCTTGGAGCTCTGCAAGGGCTCCCCCAGTGAGGAGATGCTGGCACAACTGGGGTCCTCCTGTCTGCTGCTGGCAGTGGCACTGCTGGGCCCAGGCCCCAGGGCCCGAGCTATGAAAGGTAAGATCTCCTGGGGACAGGTCGGAACCGGGAGGAGGGAAAGAAGAATGGGCAGCCAGCAGCCGGGGTCTCAGGAGGTTTTTATGTGGGAGGCCAGAAAGCAGGAAGGCCTTTTGGAAGAGTTGGTTGAGTCAAGGATAGATCTGTTTTTGAGATGGGAGAAGACAGTATTTACTGAGTGCCTGCTATGTGCCGGATGCTTTATATATATGATTGCATTTAAACATCACAGCAAACTTCAACGTGGGCATTAGTCTCCCATTTTACAGACGGGGAAACTGAGGGCGAGAGAGATGAAGTAACCTGTCCAAGGCTGCATGGTGACCAAGGGCAAGGGAAATGGCTCGGAGAACTGTTGCAGGTTCGTTGTTGGCAGGAGTCTTTCTTCTGCTGCTGAGAGCCTGATGTACTTCCCTGCTGCCAACCAAGTGAAATCAAAGTTCCTTTTTATGGCATTCAGTGCCCTCAGAGCATGGGCTCTGATTTCTATTTAATATCCACCCTCAGTTCCCTGTGTCCCCTGGGCATCCCGTGCTCTGTCAGAGGGTCACAGCCCCTTTTGGAGATTCTTCACCCTCAGGGCTTTCACCCATTGGCCTTTCTGCTTGGAAGGTCCCTTTTTTCTTTTTCCACGTCTGGCTCCTCCGTTAAGCTCAGGTCAAACACCACCTCTTCCAGGAAGCCTTCCATGTCCTTTCATCAGCCTCATGCTCCCTCCGTGGCACTCCCAGTACCCAACTGGCATCCTGGTCCCAGGCCATTTTGTGTTGCTCCAACCCCCTGAGTGTTACGTGCCCGTCTGTGAAATGAGGGTGATATCATGTCACCTGTCTTCAAGGGGCACACAGGTAGTGGGGTCTCAGCAAACAGCCATCAATGCCTCATTTTCCTGTCGGCTCAGGGGGGTTCAGAAAGGAAACGTAAACTTGTCAGTCACCCAGTTGGTGGCACAGGTGGGCTGGGCACCCAGGCATCCAGCTCCATGCCTGGGTGGTGGGAGAAGTTAGCTGTTCCCATTTTCCAACCACCAGGGTTTCAGTGGCCTTGGGGTGACCCTGGGGGTCAGGGTGCCTGGCTGAGTCCCGGAGGACAAGGCCTCCACTTGTGGTGGCACCCTGGGGCCTCCTGTCCCATGGGCATGGCTAGGGGAAGGACAGGGACGGGCGCTGGACAGAATGTCCCTCTGTCCTCCTACCATAAAGGCATGAATCAGACACCGTTCCTGCCCTGGCCTGCCCCAGGGGCCCGGCAGGGAGTTGATAATGAACTGGGTGTGCATCTGCAGCCCTTGCATGGCTTTATGTCATCAGTGCTCACAGCCACCAAGCAAGGGAGGCGTCATTATCTCCACAGATGCATGATTGAGGCTCAGGAGGCTAAGCGATGGTGAGTCTGAGCCTTTGTTCATGCCATTTCTTCCCTCTAATCTTCCCAACTAACAAAACCTTCTCATTCCTCCTAGTCAAACTCAAATATCACCTCCTCTGTGAATCTTGTCCCTCGCCAAATAATGCTGTCCCCAGCAAGACCGGCCTCCCTTCCTCTGGACCCCAGAGCCCCTGTGTGGCTGCAGCACCATCACACTGCAAGGCTTTGTCGCTTTTGCCTGACTCCCCAACCCCACCCCCTGGCTGTGAGCTCCCAGGGAGGGGCCCATTCTGAATCAGCATAGCCCTGGGACAGGGCACTTGCTTGATGAGCGTGTTTTCTCTAACAGGAACTTTGGTGAAAGGTATTTTTCAGGATGCTTTTGGTTGCAAGTGACAGAAACCCAACCTGGATGAGTTGAAGCAAAAAGGCGTGCATGGGCTCTGTAATCAGGGTGGCAGTATTATAGCTGAACTGGGTTGCAGACAGGGCATCTTGGCTTCAGGGCCATCTCCACTGTCCACATGGTTCTTGCCATCTGCTGACAAGCTTTCTCAGTGGACCCTGAGCATGGTCCCGTCCACCCTAGTACTTCCTATCTCCTGTCCCTGCTTTATTTTTCTCTATAACACTTATAGTGATATATATGCTCTATATGCGTTAATATGCTCTATATTTTACTTATTATATTATATCTGTATTCGCCACCAGAATGTAAATTCCACAAGGGCAGGAATTTTTGTCTGTTTTGTTGCTGCTGTAACCCCAGCACCTAAAACAATGCTTAGCACTCAAACGATATTTGTTGAATGCTTAAAAGAATGCCTGATAAGTATTTGAAGACTAAGTGAATAGATGAACAAACACATGAATAAATGAATTGATTTAATCATGGACGGCCTCATGCTCCTTCACCCCACCCCGACAACCCACCTTTGTAGCCGGACCCACCACCTAAGACCCCAGCGCTGACTCTGAGCCACTCTTCCCTCTTGCCCCAGGTGTCAAATGTGGGGGCGTGCTGTCAGCACCTTCTGGAAACTTCTCCAGCCCCAACTTCCCCAGGCTCTACCCTTACAACACGGAGTGTAGCTGGCTGATTGTGGTGGCTGAGGGCTCGTCTGTCCTGCTTACCTTCCATACCTTTGACCTGGAGTACCATGATACCTGTGGCTTCGACTTCCTGGAGATCTACAATGGGGCCTCAGGAGACAAGGGCAACCTGCTGGGGAGGTTCTGCGGCCAGGTGCCTCCACCATCCTTCGCCTCCTCCTGGCATGTCATGTCTGTCATCTTCCACTCAGATAAGCATGTGGCCAGCCGTGGCTTTTCTGCAGGCTACCAAAAAGGCAAGGGGGACTTGGCAATGGAGAGGGTGGCCCTGGGGTAGAGGTGGGAGAGAGCAGGGAAGCTAAGCTGAGACTTGCAGGGTCTCTGCATCTTAGCATGTAGGCTGCTCCAGAACCTGGATGACCCTCCTCTCATAGCTCATGGGACAAAGGCAGCCCCCATTTGTAGTCTTGGTAATTGAGGGTTCCCGCATTCATGACAATACTCCCCACGTCTCCCTCCGTTATTCCTGTGAGCCCCAGAGGGTCTCGGTGTGCTCAGGAACAAGGCCTCTCGTGCTCTTCTCTGCTTATTCTTCTTACCCCATGCCATGACATCAGGGCACAGGAGAGGATTCCATCCTGCCACTGCTGCTGATCCCTCGGCAGCACCCCATCACTTCCTGGGCATGGGAACCCCCACCCAAGTCCTCCAGGGTGGAAGGGGCACGGGGGTCTGTGTGGAACTGGTGACTCTCTCTCCCCCCAAAGCCTTTCCTGAATTTGCCTCTTGTATCGTGCGTCCCTAACCCCTCCCTCCCTCCCTTCCTCAACCAAGCTTGCAACCTGCCCTCCAGTCTAGCAAGGGAAGCAGAGGCTTTGCTCTCCTTGCCTTTCTCCTTGACTCATTCCTCCTGTCCTCAGGCTTCTCTGCATAGACTCAAACCTCCTGCCTCCTCCCAAGGCCAAAGCCAAAATCTTTATTCATGGCAACTCAAGCAAGAGACAACCACCGAAGCTCCTGGTACACAGGGTCTACCAACAGTAACCGGGGCTGAGGGGCACACCAGTTCCCTCTGGCTTTAGAGGCACAGAATTGAAATTTTAGACCCTTAGATTTTTAGAACGTTAAGATAGCAAACTCTAAAAAAAAAGAAAAGAAAGAAAAGTTATCAAAGTCATAATACCACGGGCAATGTGTTCCAACACTTTTTAGGAGTACCCTATAATGAAATGGAACCTTATGTTAATAATCCCTGTTCTATAAAACAGTAAAAACAGCATTTTAGTGGTGTGCATTTATTTTGTAAGTTCATATTTTTAACATTTACTATTACAAACCATCATTGAAAACACCCTCGTAAGTCAATATTGATGGCCTCCAATAAGTTCAATTTTTACATGAAGACATGTGACTGAGGATGCTGTCTTTCACTGCATTAAAACATAGTTTTTATTGCAGCATAAGAATGAAACTTGCACCAGATGCCATGCCTGCAGATGGGTGCCCCAGAGGGCCACTGTGGAGCCCTGGAGCACAGTTTGAAAGGCTTGATTAAGAGTGTTAGCCTTGGAAGGGATCTCACAGGCTGTCAGAGCCTGCCCTCTCGTTTCACAAGCAATAAATCCGAGACCAGAGAGAAAACGTGCCTTCCCAAGGTCACACAGCTCAGAGGGGAAAAACATTGGGACAAGAAGTCAAGTCCTTAGCCGCCCAGCACAGGGCTCTGTTCACAAAGCCATGGCATGGGGTGAGATTCTGGAGTCCCACAAAACACATCCAAATGGGCCCCTTCCAGCTGGTGGTGGCCTCCAGCTAGTCATAGCATTCGTTATCACTAACCTCCTGGTTGTATTGGCTGCACCAGATTCCGAAGGGGTTTCACCAGCATCTTCTCAGATTCTGCATGAGTCTAAGTCCAGTGGATCAGGCTGGGCAGGTCTTATGATTTCTAATATTCCCACAAGGCTCAGAGAGGCTGGTTTACTTGCCCAGTGTCACACAGCTAATATTAGGCAGAGTTGGGAGACACCTGTGGGCCCATCTCTGCTTTATTAGATCCTCTCTCTAGGCCTGTTTTCTCATCTGTTAGCGAGGTTGGATAACATTTCTGAACTCAGGCACCTCAGTCACTGTACCCCACTGGCCTGGTAGGAGTGGACAGTGAGTATAAAAAGGTCAAGTGCACAGGCTCTGCCGCTAGTCAAACCCTATTCTCCATGTTACCAGTCAGTTGACCTGCTATCAGGGCCGTGCTCATGTCCCTTGGGACATGCCACTTCACTGGCTCCTGCCAACCTCCTCATCTTTTTGCTTGAGGGCTTTTCCTGAAGTCTCCATGGGTCATCTCTATCCCCAGCAGCCCTCAGCTTGGACTCTCGGGAGTTGGTATATGCATGCCCCAGGTACCTTACTCTCAGGTGACGTAACTCCGAGGTATATGCTTTATACCATTTCCCAGAGTTCCCCAACAAGGCTCAGCAGCTGGCTCGACAATGTCTTTAGTGGCTGTCTCCCTTTCCCTCCCCTTTGTTGGCCATCACTCCCTCACTCCCCATATGGGGCCCCCTGTATTCCTTGTGCTCCAATCCTTGTCTCAGGGTCTGTCTGGATAAACCCAAACTCACACAGGTAAGTTAGTTAACTTTTCTGTGCCTCCGTTTTCTCAACTGTAAAATGGGAAAAACCACAGCACATCCCTCATAGGGTTATGGAGACAGTTTAAAAGGATGGCTTCGGTGCGAAGTGCCAGGCCTGTGCCTGCCACTTAGCAAGCGCTCAGTGGATGGCGTTGAGGTTCCCTGAGACACCTGTGGGAGCGACACGTTAGGGAGTGCCCGGTTCCCCAGGGAGGAGGTTGGGGAGCCACGGGGAGGGAGAAAGGTCTGTTCAAGCGGGCTCCCTTGCAGATGTGTGTGGTGGTGTCCTGACGGGCCTGTCGGGAGTCCTCACCAGTCCCGAGTACCCCAACAACTACCCCAACAATGTGGAGTGCCGCTGGGTGATCCGGGCCGTTGGCCCCGCCACTGTGAAGCTGGTGTTCGTGGACTTCCAGGTGGAGGGCAATGAGGAGTGCACCTATGACTATGTGGCTGTGCTTGGGGGGCTTGGCCCTGCCCGTGGGCAACACTACTGTGGCAGCACCAGGCCCCCCACCCTTGTGTCACTGGGCCACGAGCTGCAGGTGGCCTTCAAGTCTGACTTCAACATCGGAGGCCGGGGCTTCAAAGCCTACTACTTCTCAGGTAGGAGGGTGGAGGTACCCCAGGCCCCTGTGCGTGCTGGGCTCCTGCCTACCCAGCCTGCTTGTGGGGAGAGAGGGTCACACTTCCTGCCTCAGGGTTTTTTGCTTCCTGCTCTTTCTCTGCCTGGAATGCTCTAGCACACCCTTCCCTGCCTGGCCAACATCACCTCCTCTGGGAAGACTTCCTGATTCACTCAGAATTAATTCCTTCCTTCAACTCCTTACAGAAGTTTTTTTCACAGCAATGATCCAACATGTCACTTTTGTATGTGGTTTGTGTGTTGATCTCCCCTGCCTGACTGTAGTTCCTATGGGCTTATCTTTGTACCTGCCACATAGTAGGTATTTAATGAATGTTTGTACAAGTGAATAAATGACCCCTTGGGGCATTCACCGTCTATACGAGGAGATGGAAAAGGAAACAGACAATGACAACTCACTGTGACCTAGTTATGTAACAGTAAGAATCATGGATGACATCCCAGAGGAGCAGAGAATTAGGCAGTGCTTTGAAGGAGTTAGCCAGAGGCAGAGGAAGGGAAGGGTGTTCTAAGCGGGATCAGCATGTGCAAAGGCATAGAAGACAGAGAGGGTATGGTATGCTTGTAATACTAGGAGATGTTTGGTGAAGCTGGAAGGTAAGGGTGGGTGAATGTCAGCGAGAAAGGAGGCAAGGTCAGGTCATGACCCACATTGTCTGTCAAGTCCAAGTGTGGACTCATCTCTAAGGATGGGTATTAGGCACAGTTATTGAATTCCTAACAGGGCCAACACTCATGAAGGGGACTGCCAAGTAGAATGAGAGTCCCAGCTTTCAGCTAGTTTCAGTTTAAAGCAGGCTTTGGGATCAATTGTCTGGTTTGCTGGCCATGGTGTCCACAACCTGCGAGGCTGGTTTTAGGACCCCTGTAGCGCCTGCTGCCCGCTCTGGGGCTGCAGAGGGTGACAGTTCCCACCTTTACCATTGCTCCTCCCGCCCACTCTTGCCCAGGAGAATGCCAGGAGGTGTACATGGCTGTGCGGGGCAACTTCTCCAGCCCACAGTACCCCAGCTCCTACCCCAACAACATCCGGTGCCACTGGACCATCCGCCTGCCTCCTGGCTACCGGGTCAAGGTGTTCTTCCTGGACCTGGAGCTGGAAGGGCCCAACAGCCTGACGAAGACCTGTGATTTTGACCATCTGGCGGCCTTCGATGGGGCCAGCGAGGAGGCGCCCCTGCTGGGGAATTGGTGTGGCCACCACTTGCCACCACCAGTCACCTCAAGCCACAGCCAGCTCCTGCTTCTGCTGCACACAGACCGTAGCATCACCCACAGGGGCTTCTCGGTGGCCTACATTGGAGGTCAGCTGGGGTTGAGGGGGTAGGTGTGCTGGGTGGGGGGAAGGCAAGGCAGGGGTTCCAGGTCTTTGTAGCTTCCTTCCTCTATCCCACCAACTCATCCTGATCCTCATGAATGGTCTCCCCCAAACTCCTCCTGGGTGGCTCCACCATGGCCGACTCCTGCCCTGGGAGCTTTAGTACCAGTGTGGCCCTTGCTTATTTCCACTAGTGCAGGGTCCTACTTTTCCAGCTTCCAACTCCACGATCCCTAATCCTTCCCCGCCTGGCCTCTCTTGTACTACGGTTGATCCTCAGTATCGAGGGGTGAGACACAAAATATACAGTAATACTATTTATGACAAATAATTGGTATAACCACGGCAATGCCGACCAGCCTTGCTTATGTCAGTCAGAAATCCTGACTGGCAGTGGCTTGAACAAATGGCCTTTGTCTTCCTCACATAACAAGAAGTCTGGAGCTAAGCAGCTGCTGTGGTGGTTCAGGGACTCAACACTGTCCCAGCTTGTATCTCTGGGATTCTCTTGGCCTCATGACTGCAAAATAGCTGTCACAGCTCCAGGCATCACGTCCATGTTCAAGGCTGGAAGAGGATGGGGAGGGTGCCAGCCACAAATGTCCCTTTATCAGGAAAGGCAAAAGCATTTTCAGAAGGCCTTGAAAGATTTCTTGGTTTCATTGGTTAGAACGTGGTCAGATGGACGTGCCTAACTGCAGAGGAGGCTGGCAGGTTGGTACTCAGCTTTTCCAACCTCCAGAGTGCCACTTGGGTTCACCATCTCTCCCCTCCTCTCACCACCCTACCCTGGGCCGTGGATCCAGAAATGCCTGTGCTCTGGCTCCATTTTGCCCTCTGCCTGAGCAGGCGAAAGCTCTTTGTTGTACAGGTATGAGAATGGAGATACAGAGAGAGGGAAAGACTTCCCTGCAGCCCCATGGGCTGTGGCTGGCACAGCCAAGACTGGAACTCACTCCTTGCATGTGGCTGAGCAATCCCCGGGGAGGCCAGGCCTGAGCTCATGAAGACCAGGGCCACATCCAAATGCTGTGATTTACTGACCATCCATCAGGCTTATCTGTAAAAGGGGTTGATGCATGCCTTAAACAGGCAGTCGTTAAAATGAAATGAGGTGACAGGCCACAGTGCCTGGCTCTGAGGACATCCCTGCTGAAGGTGGGCTTCTTTCTCTCACGTGTCTCAGGCCTGTTCTGCATTGGAAAGTTCTTTCCTCTCTCCTTATTTCATACACCAGAGGAGTTTGGGGTCCCAGAGGTGGCCAGGACACTGCAGTAAGCTAGCGGTGGTGAGGTAATCTAGGCAGACCCACCCTCCCTGGACCTGGCAGCTCCATCCCTAAATTGGGGGAAGAGAGCTGTCCCTCTGTTAGAGCAACCCCTTTCTCAGAGTGCACTCCGGAGAGCCAGGGGCTGTGGGGCTCTGCCACAGCTGGTCTCTGTGAGTCTCAGCTTTTCCGCCTGTAAATGAGGACATTGGCTGCAGGGACTTTAGCATCCCTTTTGGCTCCCATAGACTTATTTCCAGGCCTAGATTCTCTTCCTGCTCTGTGCAATCTCGGACAAGCCCCTTCTCCTTTCGGTGTCCCCAGAGACTGAGGGTGGAACACCTCTAATCCCAGATCCTGTTTAGGGGCAGCAACCCCCACTCCCACCCAACCCCACCCCACTTCCCAGCCCCTGTGGGAACCCAGGGTCAGACGGGGGCACTTATGCCGGGCGAGGTGCCAGATGTGGCCCAGGCTGCAGGCGGCCTCCTGGCTGGAGGACAGCCTCGGCATCAATCAGGGTGACACACAGTTCAGCGCCACCAAGATCATTGTGGAAGACGGCGGGCCCATAAATCCCCAAGTGTCCAGACACCAGAAGCTGAAATATGTCTGAGGCATTTCCCAAAGAGGGGTTGAGAGTTCCAGGCCTCCGCCTGCCAGCTCTTTCCTTTCCTACCACTGGTGACCCCCTTCCTTTCCGCTACGCTCACCCCTGCCCCAGCAAGCACTGCCCCCTACTCACATATGTGCACGCACACACACATGCTTGCACAGACCCAGACACTTAGAGCCACACTCTCCTGGCCTGGAGGGTGCAGGGGGCCACCAGAGAGGCTAGACACCAAGACCTCTGGAATCCTACAGACTCAATAGTTAAAATCCCAGCTCAACCACTGCAGTTAACTTCACCTCTCGGAGCTTCAGTTTCCAAAGCTGTGGAGTGGGTTTAGTCACATCCACTTCATGGTATCATTCCTGGGAGAGAGCAAGGTTTCCTCCACCACCCTTTTCAAAACTGCACCCCCTCAGCCTCCCCCACTCACATCTCCCCTACACACTCTGCTCTCCCTGTCTTTCTTCTTTGCCTGGTTTGCCTTCAACCCACTCTGACACTTAGGTGTATTTTACATATTTATTGCCCCCTCACCCAACTACAGTGTAAACTCCCAGAGGGCAGGAATTTCTGGCTGTTTTCTTTTTTTTCCATTTCTGTCTCTGTGGTATTTAATCGCAGAATGATGCCTGCACACGGCAGGCCATCAATAAATATTTGTTACCTGATTGAATGAATTGCCTGGCCCATGGCAAAGTAATCAAAGATAGTAGCTTCAATTATGATTAAGAACATTCATTCATTCATTCATTCAATATCTACTGCGCCTGCCACGCTCTGTGCTGGGCTCAGAGGACCCTGAGAAGCAGGCATGGGGCCTGCCCTGGGCAGCTCATCATGTGATGGGGTTAAATGGAGTAATGCATGTAAAACATTCTCATAGGACCACGTAAGAACCATCCCCACTCTGGGCTCAGTTTTCCCATGCTCCACCCTTCGGTGGGGGCTTGAGGAGGGTGGGGGTCAGATTGCCTGCCTCCAAGGCCTCCAGCTTCTGCCTCCTGTCCCCAGTTGTGCCCATGAATGTGAGCTGCTCCCGCATGGACTTCCAGATCCTGATCTCCACGCAGGCGCTGGCCCCACTGGGGCGGACCCAGGTCTACCTGGGCAGCAGGCGTTGTGCTGCCCAGGAAGTCGGCAGCACCTTTCGGATCCAGGCCCGCTTTGACACCTGTGGCACTGAGTCTCAGGTAGGGGCTGGGGGGAGGAGGGCAAGCCTGAGAAAGGGGCCCCGACTCCTGCTGAAAGGCACCCGCCATTCTTGAGAATTCCGCCTCTCTTCCTCACTCTGGTGACTGCACAAGCCTGCATGCGGAACTCAGACCCTCTGGGCTTTACCTCAGCTTACTTGCTTGGTGTAGACCCGACAAAGAGCTCAGAGAAAGGGGTCCAGCTGCACAACCCCCAAACTCCTAGTGCAGGCTCCTCCCACGAAGCTCTGTGGGCTGGCCGTCCCCAAGGCCTTCCTGCTGATCCTCCCCAGAGCTTCCCAGTCCTCACCCCTTTAACGTGCAGAGCTGCGTGAACCCTGCTGCCTCCCGCCCACCCCTTCCCCCAACCTTGTGATCCAGTCCTTCCCTGGGCTCCGCAAAACAAAAGGGCCCTTCAAAGAACAGGATCCACCTTTCTCCAAAGGCAGCAAATCAATTTTTTCTACTATCCTTGTATTTTTGGAGGCCTTGAACCCAGGTTTGGGCCCTCAGAGTCTCTGGACAGTGGCCCAAACACCCTGGATGTTTTTATTCTTAGGGACAGGTCAGGCAGGGGAAAGAGGGAGAAGGAACAGTGACTTTTATCAGGGAGACCCCCCCCCCCAGCCTTGGTAGCTGGGGACTTGCTAGACTGGCCTGGCAGAAATCACATACTTTCCAGCAAACTTTACTCCCCCACCCCCCAACATTAGCCAAATATATCTCTGACCCCTCTGATCCACCCAGTTGCTTCCCAAGCCTCTGGGCAGCCATTGTTCTTTTGACCTGATAGGAGGAGAAGTGGGGGTCACTCTTGGCTGCCAAGATAATCTGCCCTCACCCCTACTCCATGCCCTAAATCCCCCAGGGATTTTCTTTGGGGCAGAACCACGTTGCACAGAGTCTTGAAATGACAGAGATTGGGAGTCCCAGAAGCAGGGAATCTTGGAATCTAGAAGGAAGGACTCATAGACACTCAGAGTCTCAGAGTCACGGACCCACCACCAGAACCTGGAACCATGGAATCATAGCATCTTGGAATCAATATCATAGAAACATAAAAGCTGAGAACCTTAGACTCACAGATTCTTAGTGCCTCCCTTGAACGCTGAGACCTCCGAGGACCAGTCTGCACTGAGTTGCTTTCAAAGATGCACAGCTCAAAGGGTCAAAAGCAACGACAGCCTTTCTGTGCATCTTAAAAAACAGTGCAGACTTGATTTCATAACTGTAACTGATACCTCATCTTGGGTAGGTATCAGTCCTCCTCAAGCCTCTCACTCAACAAAAACTTTCCACCAACCCTCATTTTATGATTTTTCCCCCCTTTCTTTGTTATGTAGATTCACTTCGGCTCTGTCACTGGGTCCCCTTCCACTCTCAGGTCCTGGCTTTCTTTGCCCAGTGTCCCGATTCTGTCTCACAAAAATCCAGGATGCCAGCCCTCCTCAGAGAGTGTGGTGGCAGCCAGGCTGAGGGCACAAATGCAGTCCCTGGGGACATGGATTCAGAAGCTTTTCGATGCCTAGAGTTGGGAGAGACCCTCCAGGCCACCTGGTCCACAAAATTCCAGATTTGTGACTCCCCTTCACACCCTTCTCCAAAGTGTCCAGTGAAGGCAGCTTCCTATTGTTCATGCTCGCTCGCTCTGTTTTCCATAGCTTTGCTTTTTAGAAGCCTCATCTCAGAAGTGCCACCACTGGGCAAGGGCAGCAGGGCAGCCTGAGGAGTGTAACGGCTGCTGCAGGTTTGGAGTGGGTGGAGACTGTAGCCTGCATCACTACAGCCCCTTGCTCCAGACCACACCAGACTGGCCATCAAAATGCTGCCCCCCAGTCCTGGGCCCAAGCACCCCACCATCTCAAGGCAACTTGATTCCTGCCTCCCTCATCTGTGGAGTTGGGGAGGGCAGCAGTATGCCAAGCACCCTCATCTCATTCCTCAATGGCTCTTCCCAAGCCTTAAGGTGGTATCACGCTGGTGACCAGGGACTTAACAGCAGAGACACATAATTGCTGCAGATGTAATGGGGAGGAATGTTTCCAGAAGGAAGGTTCATATAACACCAGGGACAGAGCTTCTATCTGCAGGCAGAAGGCTTGACTTCCGGACCTAGTTCTGGGCAGTATTGCCTTTGCTGGGCCGTATTGCCTTTGCTGGGTCTCCATAGTCACATCTGTAAATTGCCAATGAAAGGAGATTGAACTAGATGCCCTGAAAGTGCCCTTTGGTTTGATGTTCTTTGGTGTGAGTGAGGCGCTATGGCTAAGAGCACAGTTAAGAATCAGGCAAAAAAAAAAAAGAATCAGGCAGATCTGGGTGAAAATATGTTTCCTGTCACTTGTGTGCTGTAGGACCTCAGACAAAGGATTTAACCTCTGGGCCTCAGTTTCCTCATCTGTAAAGCGGGGATATTAATAGTACCAATATGAGAGGGTTGTTGTGAGAATTAAATGACATAATGCACTTAAAATACAGAGCCTGGAACATGGCAAATGTCCCTGCGATTACTGGTATTATCTGTCATAGACCCCGCCTCCTTGAAGCCAGCAAATATTGACTCATCAAATCTGATATTGTCCTTTCAGACGCCCTCAGAGTGCCCCTTCTACAGGTGGGGACACTGAGGCTCCATGTGAGACGGGCGTCAGTGGCCAAGCTGGAACCAGAACCCAAGCTTCTGGGTCCTGCCCTCTTGGCACTGAGTCCCCACATATCTAGGGAGACAGGGTTAGCTCTGGCCCTGGCAGATGTGAGCCAGTGCCCTGTGACCCCCACAGAGAAAGAACAACACTTCAGTGATTGTCAGCGTGCTGTACATCGACTTCTCAGCTGATGGGCAGGAGGACATCCATGAGTACGAGGTCCGCTGTGAGCCGCGGCGCAAGGAGGCGTCTGTCCACCTGCTGTCTGGCTCGGACTGGCTTGGGCCCTATGCTGCCACGGCTGAGCACCTTCAGGAAGCACCGCCCAGGGACAAGGCGGAGGCCCTGGAGGGTCCTGTGGCCATGGTAGCCCAGGACACCAGTGACATTGTCTTCCTGGGCCTTTGCATCCTGGCCGGAGTCCTCATGGTCGCTGCCATCGTGGTCCTGATGCTGTTGTGAGCAGGAGCAGGCAGCGTCGGGACCTGGCAGCTGGCATCCCTGGGAGGCAGTTGGGGACTCGATAACAGGGGCGGGACCAGGCTTTGTTAACTTGTTGATGACCATGGGCAAGGCATTGTCCCTTAGTTGAGCCTCAGCTTCCTAGGGCCCCTCACTCTGCCATGCTTATCTCGAAGGGCCGGTGTGAGGCTTAGAGAGGAACATGGATGGGTAAGAGCTTTGTAAACTATAGCATGCCATATACATGTATGCAATTGTTGTTATTAATTTTAAAGATATAAGAGAACTGTGTGTGTTACTGTCACTAGTGACAGAGTGGATAAACCTGACTCGTCTAACTTGTAAGAGTGCTTCACCAGCTCAGGGTACAAATAGGGCCCCTCTTATTTTTCCAACCTATTGCTCACCCTGAGCCTTCATTATCAGGAAGCTGAGTCTTCATCCAGGGGCCTCCATTTTCCTGAACTGACCCAAGAACTCTGAGGACTTCGTCTAAAGCAGCCCAGTGCTGCTTCCAAACTCTGGAACAGAGAAAGGGAGCCAAAACCCCATCTAGTGCTGTCATTTCGGGCTTTGCCACATGGTGTCGCTGTTGAAGACTGGTGGCATGCATCCCGGTGAATGCCTGCCCACGGAGGTGGCGATGCCCTGCTGGGTCAGACCCCTGTATAAACCACAGGCAGACCCACCCTCTGCTCAGTCGTGAGGCTGAAGGCAGAAGACTGGTGTCTTTTTCATGTTGGAGTTTTTCCTTAAATGTCTTTTGATCCTTGACTGAAAAGCTGATTGAAGTCCCATGTGTTTCTGTCCTCCTGACCCTTGATGTTGAACTTAGATCAGCAGCCCACCCTTCCCCTTCAGACGAGTTCTCTATGGAGCCCTCTGGACCTTTTCCTGCCATTGAATTTCACTCAGAGCTACTCCAGTCTACTCAGAGATACTCCCGTCCACCCCCATGTTTCTAAGTTCCCATCACAGGGAGCAGGGGCTGGGTTCCCAAAGCTGCCCTGTGAGAAGACCTCTGGCATCCTTCCGCGAATAGTCCATCCCTCCCAAGACCCCCACAATACCAAGAAGTGGAGCAATTTCGTTAATGAAAAATAAACAAAAACTGCACTTATAATGCACCCTGTTCTCCTGCTCATCTGTATGTTTGTATAATGAACCACTCAAGTGAGTCCTTTCACAATAACAGAAATCTCCAAATTGACCATGCTGACCACTTGTATCAATTTAAAAAGTTGTAGCCCAAGTATGGTTCCTTCAACAACTCAAGAAATAGTCACTGGTGTTCAGCTTGTGCCTGTTGTTGTGACAGACTCTAGCCACACAGCAGTCAACAACATGTCAAGGAGAGCCCTGCCTTCAAGGTGCTTACAGTCAGGTGTAGCAGAATTGGGGGGTGGGGGGCAGGTGTATTGGTAACAGGAGGAGAAAAGAACTAGAGAGAAGAGAGCCAACAAAGAAAGAAATGAATTAAACAAGGGAAAAAGAGGTGCCTGGACATTAAGAGAACTGGGTTCAAGTCCAGTTTCTTCTTACTATTAATCGTGTGAGCCTGGGTAAGTCACTTTGATTCTGTGAGCCTTGATATCTCCACCTGCAAAATGGGACCACTGTTTATAGTTAGCTGTGAGGATGTAGCCATATGATGAATTAAGGCGATCTGTTGGGGTAATGAATGTAATAACAGTAGAGAGTCTTGACTGTTTGGAGCAGAGGCCCCTTTCTTTTCCCTCCCACCCACCTTCTCACTCTCAGACTCTTCTAGACACCGAGTGAGGCTACCTTCTCCAGTCTGCATTGTGAGTACCTCACAAACCACTTGGGTCTCAGTTTTCCTGTATGGGAAGGACTGGACACACACCAGATACTCTCTGAGGGTGCCCCCCAAGTTATGCCCTCTAACATGGATGGGTCCTGGGGTGGCAGCTGGTAGGACCTGGGGCAGGTAGACACAAGTTGGCCGTATCCTTATCAGCTTATCAGGGAGGGAGAGAGAATAGCCCAGCCAGTGTGAAGCCTAATTCTCAAAGCTGAGTATGTGACTGTGTGTGTGTGTGTGTGTGTGTGTGTGTGTGTGTGTATGCACACATGTGAGAAAGTTGGGGCCCTCTATCTCTTATGCTCTTATGGCCAGAACATGTAAGCTTTAAGCCAGACCACCAATATCACCTCTAGCACCATCACTGTCATAGCTACCACCTCCTAAGCACTGACTACATAGCAGGTGTGTAAGATGTGTCATCTCACTTAAGCAACCTCGTGAGGCAGACATATTGCTCCCTTTTTTTTTTTTTTTTTTAGCTGAGCCATCCTGCCACCTGTTGGCAGCTCAGCGGCAGCTCAGCTCGGGCTGGAATTGAACCAGTGACCCTGTTGCTCAGAGCTCACACTCTTGAGCGAGCTCTTAACCAACTGAGCCACTCGGCCGGCCCCTGCTCCCATTTGGTTTGGGGAGGGAAAGTGCCAGTCACATGACTATGAAATGTTGAAGCTAGGCTGAGAGGAGATAGTTCTTCCCTGAGCTGGGGGGCTATGCAGCAAGCTGGGGCTTCTTTGGGACCCTAGGTCAATGCTCTCAAATATGAGGGCTGTGTCTGCATGGGAAAGGACTGGAATGACCACAAGGGAAAGGATGGTTTTATCTTCATGAGCGTGCCCAGGTACTGCCATTCCCAGCCCTCTGGGCAGCCAGCATGTTGATTATCCTGTGTGAGCTGCAGGAAATGACAGTCTTTATGACAGCACAGTGTCTACTAGAAATGAAAGGGCTGAAATGATACCCATTAGCTAACACGCCTGGCCCTGGAAGAGTGTCAGGGCAAAGTGAGCATGGCACAGCTTTCCAGCTCACCTACCAATTTCCCTTTTACAGAGAGTGGAGCCTGTGGAAAAAGCCATGCTTCAACCCCAGCTCTCTCCCCATTGGCTGTGTGGCCTTGGACGTGCCTAGCTGGGAGCTTTGTGTCCTCCTGCCAGCCTGTTCCTGCAGGGCCAATGTGACTGATGAGGAAGTCCTTGGCAAATGGATGTGCTGGCCTTGGGAAAACACTTTCTGGGCTGCAGGTCAGGCAGACCTGGGTTCATTTCCAGTGCTTTCCCTGACTGTGTGACTTTGGATGGGTTGCTTAACCTCTCTGAGCCTCAGTTTCTTTATGTGTGGAATGGGGGTAGGAAGACCCGCCTCACAAGGTCATTGTGAGGACTGAGAAAACATGAGGAGACCGCGTCCCACACAGACCCCCACCTGGATGATTCGGGAAGTGGCTGGCTGGCAGGCCAGGCCAGGCAAAGGCAGGCTGAGAGGTTATTATTTAGGTCACCTAGATAGCACCAGCTGCTTCTCTTAGAATGACGGAAGCATCCCCTGTGTCCTTGGCTTCAGAATGAAGGCACCCACTGGACCAAGAGGGTCAAGTGACTACTCTTTTCTGTCAATGATGTCTTCTCCTGAGACACAGCCCCTATATGGAAAGGCTCTTGATCTGTCAGCAACACGCCCCACTGTTTGGGAGTAAACCAGCTTGACACAGTGAGCAGAGTCCTGGGTTCTGTCTCTGTCACCTCCCGGCAAAGTAACCTTGGTCCATCAATCCACCAATTCTCTGGGCCTCCTGCAGGAGGCACTTCCCCAGCACCCACTGTGAGTCAGGACCTGGGCCAGGGTGCTGGGGTCCAGAGAGGAATGGGGCACAGCTGGTGTCAGGAGAGGAGCTGGGCTTGGGAGTGGGGGTGGAGTTCCTATCTTGGTTCTGCCACTAACTTTCCATAACCTCTCCAAGTCTCAGTTTCCTCATCTGTAAGTTGGGAATGAAAGTTGGAACACTTATTGAAATTTACTCAATACCAGGCATTTTTCTAGATTTTTTTTTGCATTTATTTTCTCCTTTAATTCTCTAAACAGTAACTATTATTATTCCCTCTAAGAAACAGTAGAGGCAAGATTCAAACCCAAGCAATAGGTATGTCTGCAGAGCCCAGACCTTACAGTAAAACAGGTGAGAGGAATTAACGAGAAAAACAGAAAAGAAATGTTAAGTCACATTTGTAGCTGTAACAAAATACATGTTAGATATGAATATTGAGCTCTTTGTGCTCAGTGCTGTTCTCAGCATCTAAGCGCTCTCCGTAAATTAGTCCACTTAATCCTTGTAGTAATGCTGTGAGGTGGGTACCATCATGAGTCCTATTTCACAGAGGAGGAAACTGAGGCACCAAGAAATTGAGTAACTTGCTTGAGGTCATAGCTAATAGCTCCCAGGAACTGTTCTCCCAGGAACTCATCTGTATTAGCTTGTTTAGGCCTCACAACAGAGGTCCTCACCCATGGTCACATTCCTATTTAGTGGTGCAGCCAGGCCTCAAACCAGGTGGTCTGATTTCAGAGCCCCTGCTCCCACCCAGCGGCTCTAGCACGTCTTGGCACAGTGCCTTGTGCAAAGCATGAGCTTGGGAAGTATTAACCAGTCCCAGTGTGAGGCTGTGAAATGGGTTCTGGGCTCCTGAGGTCCCAGATAAACTGCTGCCCCATCGCAGGTGACTTGTCAGAGCTCAAGGCTGCTCCCAGTGGAGCCTTTGGGGAACATGCGGCCTCCCTGGCCTGCCTATTCTGCCCACACAGGCACTGGAACACACAGTGCCTGAGTCAGGCCCAGCTGCCCTGGACACTGAGCCTCAGGGCCTCCCAGGGCCAATCCATGTTGCCCTCCAAAGTCAACTATGCCCCCTCGGCTGGCCTCCCTCCTGGAACATCGATGGGACTCACTGCCCTCTGCCGCTTCCTTCAAGCCCGCCCAGGGTCCAGGAGCAGTGGGCACCTTTGAAGGCTGCTTGGCTACCTCAGCGCCCTGTCCCCACCTGGGCCTGGATCCCACGGCTGCAGCTTTGGTGGTGGTGGTGACGGTGGTGGTGGCTCTATTGCAAAGAGCCCTGGATGACATCTCCCTAAGAATCGCTGGCATTAATGGGGATATCGTAGCAGTGGCTCCTGCTACTGAGCCCCCAGGCCTGCAGGCGCTTCACCCACTCTAATCCTCACAGCCGCCCACTTTACAGATAGAAAGCGGAGGCTCAGCCAGGCTGAAGGGCCCACCAAAGACCACCCACCTGGTCAGCGGGAGAGCAGGGACTTGAGCCCAGCTCCTTCTGGGTACTCTTTCCATGAAACCAAACCACACGGATTCTCCCAGATGGTCCCCTGCTCTTTGTGTCAAGAGGACCCTTCTTTCATGAGTCTGAGTGCCTGGCCCTGAACTTGTTGGGGTGTTTTGGCAATATAGGTGGTGTAGGTAGACCTGCCCGTAAACCAACAGTGACACAAAAACAGGTGAGGACTGTGGCCAGAAGAGTCTCGATACTGCCTGGAAGCAGCGAGTGCCCCCTGGAGGTGGTAATGCCCAGGCAGGTCCTGGGAGATGAGTAGACATTCAACAGGTCATTCAGAGGGAGAGAGGAAGGGGAGGAAGGGCATTTCAGGCAGGGCCAGCTGGAGATTAGAGATTTGGGAGCCTCAAGGGCACCCCCAAGTTCACCAGGTGTGACAGCACATAATGGGATGAGAGAGGAGGTGACGAGGCCAGAAAGGCAGGTGAGGACAGGGCCTGGCTGTCAAGAGACTTCCCACATAGCGGCTATGTCAGCTCTTGGTCCCCATTTAGTGCCTCCAGGCCTTCTTTGGGGTACACGAGGGTCCCCAGATCATAAATCCTCGACACTGGCTTTATAGCTGAAGCTGGGAAAGAAGGCGATTGGCCTAAGGTCACCCAGAAGAGCCAATGGACTACATGGGACACTCTGTCCCTGCCGTGCAATCTCTGTCTCTTTCCGTCTCCTTCCTGGTGGAGGGTGGTGAGTTTCCGCCCGATCACCATGGGGGGCAGTCAGGGCCCCCACCCTCAGGATTCCCCTGGCAACAATGTTGACTAGGCCCCTCCCACATCACAACATCACATGGGCCAGGGAGTTTCCCTGTCTTTGAAATCAAACACAAACAAACCCCAAACAGAAATTGCCCCACACCTGAGCTCCAGGTAAATGCAGCCAGGGCCTGTGGGGTGTACACACCTTTTGGCTCAAACCCAGGAAAGGCCAG